AGTCGTATCTTCCTCTAGCACCGCACTGCTCAAGCGACAGGCTAGTTGGACTGTACGCGCCGGTCTAGCCAACAGTGCTTGTTTCTCGTTTGAGTCCAAGGACACCGCTGGGAGTTACATTCGCCATTTCAACTTCGTGTTGCAGCTGCAGTCGAATGATGGGTCGAAGGCGTTCAAGGAGGACGCGACCTTCTGTCCTCAAGCGGGTTTCTCGGGCTCGGGGAGTTCGATAAGGGCGTGGGGATATCCGACGAGGTATATTCGTCACTACAACAACATCGGAGACATTGCTAGTAACGGCGGTGTTCATGATTTCGATGCGGCCGCGAGCTTTAATGCGGATGCGACTTGGAGTGTTGGTACGGGGTTGGCTTAGTGGGTTCGTAAGAGAAGGGGGTGGGTGTTGGCTTGGGATGTTGTTGGAGTGGGTTGTGGATGTATAAAAACCCTTTATAAGACTTTTGTAAGGGGTTTCTGTACATCAACAACCCACTCCTTCAATATCCCAATCCAGAAAGAGGTGGATACTTTGGTATTGAACACGAAGAACATCTCTATAGACGGTTATAACACTCGAAAAAGCCACCTAATTCGATGGCTTCATTGTCTGTTAATCGGCTTCTTCGGATGTTACAACCATCTGTGTTGAATAATACGAAGACAACCTTTACAGTGTATACATTAGCCAGATATCTCTCGTACAGCACGCAACACCTACTGTACATCTACTATCCAATCACCATACTCGTACAGTAGCTTCACAGCGTCCAAAACACCATCATTCTTTACGCGTATTTCAATACTTCACTACTACTACCAACAAGACCTCACCACGACAGCGCGCAATCCCGCTACATTCAATCACTCCTACTTCACCAAGCAACAGACCCGCAATCCATTCACAACATGTCTACAGCCACAGCACACGTGAAGCGTCCTTTTAAAGGTGGTGGCGCTTTCAAGGAACGAAAAGAACGAAATTTGGCCAATAGAGCACTTGAAAGCGAGGAAAAGTCAATTCACCAAGCAACAGACCCGCAATCCTTTCACAACATGTCCCCAGCCACAGGCACAGCACACGCAAAGCGTCCTTTTGTAGGTGGTGGCGCTTTCACCGAACGACTTCTGGCCAATAAAGCACTTGAAAGCGAGCGTAAGTTGCGAGAGTTGATGGGCATGTTGCTTGAAGCCGTGCTATCAGGTCCTTTCGAAAAAGAAGAAGTATCGTCAGCACGAGAGCTTGAATCTGGTGATGACGATGAGTGGGAGGATGTTGAGGATGATGACGAGGATGATGACGAGGATGATTGGGAGGATGTCCATGACGAGGATGTATGGGAGTATGTCGACGATGACGAAGATTGTGAAGCTGTGGAGGATGTCGACGACAATTCTCCAGGTGACTGCTTGGACTTCTCAGACTCCTCACACTCCCCACACTCCTCCTCGAACCCCTCCTTATTCCTATCCCCCTTCCTATCCAACAACCCCCCTACCAAAGACTACCCCCCTATCGGCCACCTATCCTTCGCCACCATCGAAGAAGCCCGCACCGCTTACTATTCAACCTTATCTCAAGTAGAAAATCTTCTCGTAAAGTGGTATCACAAGGACGATGTAACAGCACTTGTCAAGACCTTGATCGAATCTGCCCAGGCGTCGTATGCCGAGCAGGAGGAGTTTTGGAAGGATAGGCGCATAGTTCAGGATTGGTTCGCAGGTATAGATAAGTAAGCGTGTGTTGTACTAGCTATGGTAGGAGGAGGTGGGAATGGGATGGTGGATGAAGGAAGGAGCGTGGATGCGGGTATGTATTTACCTGTCTGTTCTTGCAGCGCTACAGTATTGTTTGCGCAGCGAATGCAGTAGTTGTAACGGCGATATCATGTACAAACAGTTTCTTATGCAGATTCCATCTATGGTGCAGTGCAGTGATACCGCGGTCTTTGGAAGGATAAAACTACGGGAGGGACTGACACTAATCCATTCCCGGACTAGTCCAAGGACCAGACAGGCACAACCTCGGGACCAGACATTCTGAACCATGGCTCTCGGGAAGTTCTAATACCAAGTGAGATAAGACTAGTCTGAGCGCTGATGTGAGGAAGAAGAGCGAACAGAATAGGTTTCTATAGACTAATACTCGTACAAAACTACCGTAGTGCTAGGAAAAAAGGGTACAAGGTATGTTCAGCATCTAGTCAATGAGCAAGCTATTCAGTCTCGCCTCCGTAGCAATAACATCCAACGCCTGCTTGACCTCAAGCACTCTCCTGCACTCGCCCAACCAATCTTTGCTTAGTACCTTAGCCCAGCCCTGCAGACCGTTCATCTCACGAGCTGCGGCATCAAGGTCGCCTTCTTCGAGGAGGACCTCCGTTCGTGCAAGCACGGCCTCAACATCACCTCCAACAGCCAGACCAGACTTCTTGAACAGCACCTTTGACATGGCGAGGGAGGCGAGATGGGAAGCTACACCAGCGTCTTCAGGGAGGAGAGCCGCTTTCCTGACTTCAGAAGCGACGCGGCGGAAGCGGTCGATTAGGAGGGCAGAGCTGGGGATGCCGCGTTGGTAGGCGGCGGGGTTGATGCTAGCGATGGCGGCGCTGACGACGGGGTCGTCCTGGGCGATTTCCTTGAGAGCCGCAAGCTCGGTGACGAAGGGCTTGGGGATGGCTTGTGTCTCGAGAGCCGACTTGACGGCCTCGACGGCGACGACAAGGTGCTGCGTTTTGAGGTTGGCGTCTACGACGCTGTTCCACTCAGCAGTCAACTTCTCGAGCTCGTGGACAGAGGAGGAGAGCTCGTTGAGCTTGCCGAGACGGCCGTCACGTTCAGCTTCGACGCGTTCCCGTACGTTGGCTGTGAAGGACTTTTGCATGTTGATGCTCTGTTCCAGGAGTTGGTTCTTGAGCTTCTGGTCGTAGACCTTTTGGGCGGCCTGGAGTTCAGACTGGAGTCGCTCCTTGTAGGATTGCGACAGACGCTCGCGCTCGTTTTCGAATTCCTCCTTGAACTGGGCTTCTTGCGCCTGCATCTGGTGGTCGAGGCGCTGGACGAGCTCCTTGGCGGCCTCGTCGAATTCGGCGTGGGCGGCCTTGACTTTGTCTTCGGTCTGCTTCTGGAGGCTCTCCTTCATCAGGTTGATGTCGGAGACGACCTTGGCGAGCTCGCTCTTGGCCTTGTCCAGCGCGGAGTTGTACCTGCCGTCGTGGGCGTTGTCGGCGTTGATGACGGTGATGATGTCGTTGACGATCTTGACGACATCCTGGACGACGGGCTCGGTCGCGGAGGGTACGCTGAGGTGGTCGAGCTGGGAGATGGGCGTGGCGGTCTCCTTCTTGACCTCGACCTCCTTAACCGGGGCCTTCTTCTCCGCGGGGGCAGGTGTGGGAGAGGACACCTTGGGTTGTTGTCCGCCTGACTCAGTCTTGTCCTGGGGCTTGTTGGCATCGACGGCGCTCAGATGGGGGCCCTTGGAGGCGAGGTCGCTCTTATTCTCCTGGGCTGGGCGCGCAGTCAAGCCGCTCCGTCCGGGGATGGTGACCTTGTTCTCGCCCGAGATCTGGGGGTGCAGTCGTGGTTCGCCAGCGCGACCGGGGAATCGCCGCCTGAACTCGCGCTCCTCGAAGTAGGCGACGGCATCCTCGCCGTAGGGGATGTATTCGGTGAAGAAGTCGTGGAAGTTGTCGGACACGAGCGAGTACCAGACACCGCCGGCGTACCCGAGGCCAGAGAGGACCGTCAGCCAGAGCAGCAGCTTGCGGAATATGCGTCTCTTCTTCTTGGGCTTGGGCTGGATGGGGTCAGGTGCTATGCTGGACGATCCGGGGCCGGTGGGGGGTGTCGTCTTGGGCGATATGGCGGGAGCATCACGCGATGCGCCTGCAGTCACGGTGCTGTCGGGCGCCGGCGGTGCCTTGGGGATGTCCGAGGTGGGAATGGTGCCCTTGGGGTCGGAGGGCGAGGTGGTAGGCGCGGGATTGGGGACGGCCGTCTCGCCCAGGTTCTTGCTATCGGCGTAACAGCGTTGAGCGACGTGCCATTGCGGGCGGGCGGCGCGGACCAATGGGCGAGCAGCTGGACGGGCCCGTAGGATGGAGGCGCGCAGCATAATGGGCTGCCTCCGAATGGCGGATGGGGGGATGGGGGGAGGGAATTCGGCGTTGTTGATGGGCTGGACGTCTGCCAACATGAAGATTTGGAGCTCAACCAGCACACACGTCAGGGTGCACGGACCCATCGGCAGTCCCAGGTTATCGCCCGCCGCACCCACATGCTCCCACGACAACTCACCACCACTCCAAATTTGATGACAGCCATCCATCATGCTGAAACAGATCCACGCTTGCTCAATGACTAACCCCAGCTTCACTCTTGGTTCCTTTGCCGCGCGAGCCCACGGTTACTGATCCAAACCTGCAGCGACCCACTCACAGCGCCTCTTGCCATTCTGTGGTCGAGAGCAATGTACGGTTGACTGCGAACTGATTTCTTATATATACTGTCGATTCTTTCTCTCTCTCTCATTTCAACCATCTCTCTCTCACACCACTTTCTCATCAGACTTTTCTATCCAAAGCAGACCCCAACTGAAACCAGTCAAGTCAGCACTGCCTGCGCCATCTTGCAACGTCAGCACATTACGGCCACCATCACAAGCTACACCAGGCAGCCGCATTTCCAACTCTCCATCACCCGCGCACTCTCACACAGCTTTCGAGCGCCTGAGATCGTCGCAAGAACCAGACCCACCTTCCAGATCCGTCTGCAGGAGCAAATTCCGAGTGTGGCTTTGTCCTCGGCTACCTTTTCTCCGTCTCAACCAACACCGCCAGCAAATTTGAACTTTTCAACTTCTGGTCAGCTGAGCATTCACAACGAACACCTGTTCGCATACTACGGGCCGAGAAAATCTCCCCAACAAAACCTTTCGCACGAGACAAAGATCTCCGCGCAAAACCCAAACCCCCGCGAAAAATTAAACACACCCCGCAAAAATGTCTACAACCACATCCCACAGCTCCGCCACCGCGCGCGATGCCACAAACTACTCCTACGATCTCAGCAACGCGATATACGGCGCTTTCCCCAGCTGCGCGACCGATATCTCGCCGCGCAGATCACGCGCCGCATCTCCAGCGTCTGCATCAAATTCTTCAAAGAAGCGCACAGGCACGAATACTGCAAACACTGCCACTACCACAAACCGCACACTCTGCCGCCAAGCCATAAGTCTGCACCGCGAAAACGCGCCCCCAACCTGGCTGCCCGCACCAAACCCCACCAACAAAAGAAGTGCGCTCGCGAGAAGACAGCAAGGACAGCACGGCATGAATATCCATGCGAGCACGTGCCTCAACCTCAATGCCAGTGCCGAAGAAGAGAGTTCTGAAGCGGATCTGTGGATCTTGCCTGAGCTTGATGATTGGGAAGAGGATGAGACTGAGACTGAGTCTACGATTCTGACGCCTTCGTCATCTGCGGAGTTGGACGCCGAGAGACCAGCGACTGGAGGACCGGAGAACAAATGGGCCGGAGTCTTACGCCGTGCTGCCAACTCGAATCTTGAACGCCTAAGGACGAGGATGGAGGGCGAGGGGTGGGATTTCGTCAAGCCCGCCAATCAGGACGACGAGGATTTGGATGATGAGGAATTCGACGTGGTCATTCTGTCCGAAAGGGCGAGGAATGAGTAAGCGGAGCGACTACGAGGGGACTCACGATTACGATATGTACGATTTTTATTGGCGGAAAAGCGACTTCACTATTTACGATACCCAATTTTCGATAGAGTTTTGAACGAATTGTATATCTCAAACCACATCTTCGCGAATTGTGTGCATGTGAATGGTGATGATGTATACTTCGAACCACGTCTTCAGAAAACTTGCTCATGTGGAAACTGTTGTTGTATTCCCCAACCCAACCCACCCAAAGATTATTACAAAAACATACTAGAAACTTCTAATTATACATCCCTTCCCTTCACCCACACCACCCTTTCCCCGATCTACCCCTCCTCAGACGAAATGTCTACTCGATCCTCTTCTTCCCCTCCTCCAGCCCCAATAATCTCGCATCACTCTTGCCCCTCTCATGTTTCGCCGCACCACCAACAAGCGGCCCCACAACAGGATTATTCCTCACCTTCGCCAGCGTCTCCTGGAAGGCTTCGATCTGGGGGGGTTGGCGGTTGAGTTTGGGGAAGTTGACCTGTTACGCTTATTAGCGATTGTCTCTCATGAACGTAAGGTGCGCAAAATGATAGAAAAGGAGAGAAAGGAATATAGGAAGGAGGAAAACTTACATATAACGTCCCGTGATTCCAGATGAAATTCGCGCAAATACCGGCTGTGACGAGGGAGATTAAGAGGAGGAGACGTAACGGCCAGACCGTGGCATCAGGCGCGCGCCGAGTAAAGCTACCGACGAAAATGAGAAAGACGGCTGCAGCGAGGATGTAGGGTATCGACTGAATGAACAGGGGTCTTCGATCCGCAAAGAGAAGTTGTCCACTTATGCTAGAATCGCTAGGCAGATAGTTCCCAAGGAACAAATCAAACGCATCCTGCCGAGGTCCGTCGGTGAAGTTATTGAGACAGTAGCGCGTAATACTGTTGTTTAGATCTTGCAAGGCACCAGCCTTTGTCCTTACACCCAAGCGTGTGAAATCAGTCTTTAGTGCACCGGTACCAGAATATGATTTCGACACCACATCCGCGTTATCGGCCCAGACGTTGCGGAACAAGTGTTCGAATGCTTGGTCCTCCTCTGCGGACTCGCCTTCGCGCATCAGACCGCAGTCGATGAGCATGCGGCTGAGGACGTAGCGGCCCAGCATACTCTGCACCACATTCGTACGATCGAGACAATCCATGCAGTTCGTGCGTACCACAGCCGTTTGGTGTCTTCGGACTTCCACGCCGCTGCCGTCCCCGGGCATGTCGACGCCGCAGAAATAGCCGTGCTTGATGACGTGGGGTTCCAGTTCGTTCATGAGGAGTTTGGCGCGGTCCCACCGGAGGCCCTTTGTTTCGTTGTGGAAGTCGAAGTAGACGTAGTGGAGGCGGTCGTATACGGTTTGCGCTTTGGTGGGGTCGATGATGTGGAATTTCTCAGAGGTTATGCGGTCGCCTTCGACGTTTTCGGCGGGGGATGTGTGTAGCAGGTTGACCATTTGCTCGTAGGCTTCTTTGACGCGCTGCTCGCGGCCCTTTTGGTTAACCAGGTTCACCATCCAGTTGTCGCCGTAGAGACGGATTTGCTCGGCGAAGTGCTTCTTGGCGGCTGGCAGCGCGTTGTCGATGCCGCGGACTTGTAGCTTGGGGGTGTATTTTAGGGTGTTGATTTCGGCCCAGTAGACAGGGACGCTTCCTCTTGTTTGCACGTACGCAAGCACCTGTGTCTCCTTTCCGGCATTCCCTCCTGCTGCGCCGTTCTGGTTTGAGCCGAATCCGCCAGGGCCGCCCGATGCATTGTCGTTCAGGATGATGGTCTGCTCCGTCTCGTTGAAGTTGGACACGTTGCCGTTCTCGTCGATGCCGCGCGAAAAGTAGCGGGTTCCGGCCTTGAGGCGCGAGCGGCGGGTGATGAGGATGAAGGTGAGAGGGGTGCCCTTGATGGATGTGTTCTTGATTTCGAGCATTCCGTACATGACGGGCAGAATGTAGGGGTCCGCGCCTGGCTGGTGTCCGCTCGAGTGCCTGCCATATCCGCCGCTGAGACCTCCGCGGAAGTCGATGAGGTCGCTGGAGACGAAGCGGTTCCAGTAGAAGCGGTCGTCTGCGCGCTTCCACAAGGGCGTCGCGGGGTCGAGGTGGGCTTGGCGCTGGAAGGTGTTGGTGATGTCGAAGGAGTAGGAGAAGAACAGCGGGGACGTCTTGATGAGCGTCTTGAGCAGGCTGAGGTAGTTGTCCTCGTCGGCGTCGTGCAGCGGCTTCTCGCGCAGGGACAGGAACTCGGTCGAGACTATCTTATAGATCATGTGGCCCTTTATCCGGCCCATGGGCTGGGCCTTGGTAATGACAATGATGTACTTGTCTTCACGTGCATCAGCATTCGTGTCCCCTGGTGCTGTGCAGGAGAGGCATACCTAGTCGCAGCTTGATCATGCCGAGGATACCGGCAATGCTCGACACCCGCTTGGAGCCCAGCAGCTTGCCATCGTGAAGGCGGATGTCACCTGACGGGCGGTCTACCACCAGTGTAGGGGCCGAGGGCGAGGACGGCGAGGAGAAGGCGTAGTGCGAGGGCGACGAGTGGACGTTGATGTCGCGGTAGGGGAGAGCGACGCTCATGATAATCTCGTCCACCTGGGTGTGTATGCTATACGAGGTGTATACGGGGATCTGGGCGTGGTGTTGAGTATAGTGTTTGCGATGTGTTTTCTCAAACGGGATGTTTCGTCATGGCGGCCATTGCGGCCAAGGGTCCCCGACTCGCGCGCTAGGGCCAAGCACCAGACGCAGCACCTCGTCACAGCACCATCCAGCTCTTTCACCCTCACCACACCCCAACACGCTTCTCTCGACCATACCCCGACCCGGTCCCCGACTTGACCGCCCACTACTCGCACCACCACCCTCGCCCACTCTACACCACCCCCCTCCGCCACAACCCGCTAGCGCCGCGTCACCCCCATCATGTCGGCCAGGATGCAGCAAGGCCAACGGCCCGGAGGCTCCAGATTCGCACAGTTCAAGCTGGTGCTGTTGGGTACGAGATCTCCATAACATGTGTGTTAAGACATGACTAACGTCCCCAGGTGAATCCGCCGTCGGAAAGGTGCGCAGGCCTATCAAGGCAGCCATGACATAAGCTAACATGCCGCAGTCGTCTCTAGTATTGCGCTTCGTCAAGGTACGCCATATCACATGTCCCCGACCCGAACCCAGTACTAACACACGCAGGACCAATTCGACGACTACCGGGAATCCACCATCGGCGCCGCCTTCCTCACCCAAACCATCGCCCTCGATGAGAACACGACGGTCAAGTTCGAGATCTGGGATACCGCCGGCCAGGAGCGCTACAAGTCGCTCGCGCCCATGTACTACCGAAACGCAAACTGCGCCGTAGTCGTCTACGACATCACACAGGCCGTACGTCTCCCTCCCTCGCCACACACCTTCCTTCCCCAAACTAACACCCCCCAGGCCTCCCTCGACAAAGCAAAAGCCTGGGTCAAAGAACTCCAACGCCAAGCCAACGAGAACATCATCATCGCCCTCGCCGGCAACAAGCTCGATCTCGTGACCGAATCCCCTGACAAGCGCGCCATCTCCACCGCCGACGCCGAGCAATACGCCCGCGAAGCCGGCCTCCTCTTCTTCGAGACGTCGGCCAAGACAAGCGAGAACGTAAAAGAGCTCTTCACTGCCATCGCGAAGAAACTGCCCATCGACCAGGCGGGACCCAGGAACCTGAGACCGGGCCAGCAACGACAGGGCGTTAACCTCAGGCCCGAGGCTAACCAGACTCAGGGCCCGGGCGGGTGCAACTGCTAGGGTTTGGGGGGAAGGGAAATGTGTTTGTTTGGTATATCGCGAGGAAGACTGCGGAGGAGATGCGATGTGACTTGGGATGGGTCCATGCTACCAGTGAGTGCAGAGGCGACACTTGGTATAGCCTTTCTTCGTACGTCTCTCAGTATGTTCATTGTGGGACATTGGTGGGCTTATTTGGAGTAAAGGGTTTTGTGTTTCCGTCCGCTCGATCAAGTCTATATTGCTTTTTTCACTCACACAAGAGAAGAGAAGATATTTTGGGGCTACCTGCACCGACCTTTTTTAATTAATGAATTTCGACAATCACTTTCGCTCCTTTGCTGCGCCAGAGTCGTTTTATCGCCGCTTCCTCAGTCCAAATTCGTCTTCAAACATCTTGGTTATCGTATGTATCTCCACCCAGCTTACTTTTTGGCATTCCCATGCCCTGCTCCTCACCCTCATCGGTGTCTTCATCGGCTTTCTTCTCGCCGTCCTTTTCCTTGTTATCTTTCTCACCCTGTCCTGCTTTCTTTACTTCCTCCTTATCCTTTCGCTTATCCTTCTTCCTCCCGTCCTTGTCCTTGTCCTTGTCCTCATCCTCATCCTCGTCCGACTCCTTATCCAACTCCTCATCCAACTCCTCTTTATCCTCGTCCTTCTTCTCATTCTCGTCCTCTTCCTTATCCTCCTCTTCATTCTCTTCTTCGTCTCCCTCCTCGTCCGACTCCTCATCTTCCTCTTCCTCCTCCGCATTTCGCTTTCCTCCTGGTAGGGGCCACCGGTAAAGATGGCTATCAAGCCACAAGCGGTTCGGCATGTTTTAACCTGAGTGATGAGTCGTACGTTGATATGTAAGATGAGGGTCGGGAGATGGAATGTGGAAGTGGGAATGCGTGGTTCACTTGTTTCTTAGGTAGGTGGATGGGCTGTTATTTATGAAGCGGTAGGGGTGGATTTGTGGTTTGAGAAGACGAGGGAGAGGGTGCTTGACAAACGGAGGTAAGGTGGTGTGATGTGTGATGTGTGCTGCCCACCAGAAACGATGATTATTAGCCCACAAGCGGTTGGGACTCATGTTTTGAATCGCGCAATTCATCCAGCGCCTTAGCCACCATGAATACCCACCATAAGCATCCGCATTCCACTCTCCGCACGCCAACATCCATCCATCTCATCCCCCCTTCGCACACAGCCCATCATTCTAACCATGCCGCGAAGAACCAACGCCAGACTGGAAATGATAGTCGACACCCAGAACAGAATGCTCGAGGGAATGACCAAAGAACGCGATAATGCGATCACAGCGCGAGACACCGCAAGAAAAGAAAGAGACAACGCAAAACAGGACCTCTACATGCCCACCAGGACCCGCGGCCTGTACATCACCGCTGACCCACCATCCTCCAACATCCTCGTAGAAGTACTACACGACCTACCAAATGACGAAATAGAACTCATTTGGTCCTCTAATTGGAGATCAATTCACCCAGAAAATTATCAACGTGAAGACGCAGTGACAGTCAACATGCATAGCAGACTCGGCACATGTGTGCCTGGCATTTTCGTTGCGCATGAAGAGATGGAGAGGCCGATGCGGATATGGTACTCTACCGAAGATGGAATGGCGGTGGTGAAGATCCACAATCTAGATATGGAGCGGGACGGTATCGCGGAGGTGTACAGGAGGCTCAATTACATGCGAGCTGAAGTTTATGAGTGAGCCAGGAACATGGATAGGAGACGAAGCATATTGGTTTGTGTAGACTAGCTGGAATACTCATCGACAATAGATATTATTGCCAGTATCACACGCCCACCTCCGCTGTTTCCTAACTTCACTGCATGCACACCTCCTATCTCAGCGTACCACCGATTACCTAAGCTGCTTGACATAGCCAGCGGGTATGTAGTGGTATAATGCGTGATGGTAGCAAATATCTTGTTCGTGGCTTGTGAGATGTGGATGCTTGGAGAATGGCTCTGCGAACCGTCATGCCATTCGATAACCACATCTCTGGCGATCTAATCACGAGCATGCTTCCACAAGCGCGAACCATGCTTTGAAAGTACTTCAACCCCACATCCCCATCTAGACGCCCAAGCCAGCTCCTTGACCACCTCACTGAAACGTCACCCACGTCGTCTTATCCCCGACCGTATGACAAATCACCACCCACCGGTCAACTGCCACATTATTGATAAAAAGACCTGGTAAACGTGTTCCATACTGCCCATACATATTATACCGCACATCGGAAAGGTTATCTCGCGGCCAGGACGACGACCATAGTTCTTGATAGTATGCGGGTGTCCACTGCTCTGCGGGTACATGGTGCACTATTTGGGTCTCGCCAGAGAAGGATCCGGGGTTGAGCGAGACATATATCCCAGGGAGAACCATGGGCGCGTATAGCTCTTGCGCCGCTTGGATAAGATGCGAGCCTTGGTTTTTGAGCTGCGTTTTGAGGTTGTTGAGCTGCGTTTCGAGGTTGGCGAGTTGGGCGTCCCGCACTGTGAGCTGCGCGTTGACGTTGTTGAGGGCGGCCTTGAGTGCTGGTACTGTTGTCATGGTAGAGCAGACTAGTAAGGAGAAGGGGAGATGGGGTTTCTGGGTCTTTGGTATTAGTCGTGGTGGTGATACGGAATTCAGTCGGGGGTTGAGGTACTTAAGGGTGAAGAACGAGATCTTATCGTACTAACACTGATGGTTATAGTGTTTGTGTCATGTCAAATGACGCCGGTTGCGTGATCTGACAGCATGCGCATGAAGTCCTTCATCACCTGCTACCATCCTCTCAGCTCACCCATCTCCTCATCCGTACACACATCCATAGCACCCTCCTAACCACTCAATTGCTCACCCCTCGCTTCAAAGCTCATCCACGTCCTAATCCCCTGCAAAGTAGTATGGCAAATCAGCACCGACCTGTCCACCTCCTCTCGATCCACAAACAGCCCCGGCAACCGTATCCCATGTCTCCCATGCATGTTCTTGTCTCCACGGCGCGACATAATCCCAAGGTCGTCGCCCTAGGTCGACCACTGGATCTTGTACTGCGTTTCCCCCGGCAGCTTGATTTGTACTTGGACTTGGCCTGAGAAGGCACTGGGATCGTGCGAGACGTATATGCCGCGGAAGGGGGTTAGCCCGTAGATTTCCGTCGTTGCGGCGTAGAGTCCGGCGTCGCTGTCCCGGAGCGACGTTTTGAGATCATCGACTTCTCTCGTTGCGGTGTAGAGCCGGGCGTCTCTGTCTGTGAGCGACTGAGTGAGATCATGGATCATCTTTTGCAGTTGAGATCTGTATGATGGAGGCGGAGGCATGATGTGGTTGGGTGGTTGGTGGATAGGGAGGGGTGGTAGTGGTTCTGAGGTGGTGTGGTGATGGTAAAAGATCTGAGTGGCTTGAAACGGGCGAGAAGAGCGCGTTTCTTTGTAAAGATGGATGGAAGAAATGGAAGTAAGTGAGTCTGCGGTACGTCGATTGATGTGTCTTGTGTGATGTGATAGTGTGGTGTTGGGATGTTGGGATGATGCGACGTGCGCATGGGCTCCTCCGCAGTTGCTGGAAGATGGTGGCTTTGCAAGGAAGGTGGGTTTGAGGATGTTGATGAGCGACTTCCGTGGAAAGGGCACATGGTAAGTGCGCGGTGAACATCAAAGCAACGCGCTTGAACAGGGGGTTAAGATAACGATATCACTTCTTCTCGCTTCGAGCGGCTGAAGCGCATAGCTCTTTGTATTAGTGTTCGGCGCCTGCTACTACTCGCTCAGCTCATCCTTCTCACCATCCGCAAAGGTACCCCACAGGCTATCAAATCTCTTCCCTAAACTCCCTCCCCTACCCAAGTCATCTCACACGATCCTCATCCGTCTGATCCTCAACCCTCACCACCGTCTTCTTCATCCCCACCGCAAATGGTGTCCAAGTTATCACAATCGGCGTCTCCACCTCTTCCGGCGCAACAAACACACCAGGCAGCCGCACACCCACCCTTCCGTGCATGTTCACCATGTCTTCTGGTTTGTATCCTTCGAACGCCGGGTTCGACAGGCGTATCGCGTAGAGGGGGGGTACAGGTTGGAGCTCTCCGTCTTTCGATAGTGCTAGCCGCTCAACCGTCATGGAGATGATGCCTTCGGATGTGTCTCTGTTGGGGGAGATGTACACGCCGCGGACTTGGATGGGGAAGTATAGTTCTTTTGTGACAAGTCTTAGCTGGGCGGTGAGTTCGGCGATTCGATTGTTTAGGTCGATTAAGCGTGGTCTGGCCGGCATGGTGGGATGAGTAGATGAGTGGATGAGTGGATGAGTGGATGAGTAGATAAGTGGATAAGTGGGTGAGAAGTGACGGATGGTATGTTTGGGTGGCGGGATTTCCAAGGTTGGAAGCGGACTTTGATGACTAGGAAAGGGGGAAGGGGCGTTGTTCTGATAAGTGGTTAGTGGTCACCGAGTTTGCACTAAGCCAAACGACGGGCTTTCTATATAACAATTGCAAGAATAATCTTACATCCGCAAGCTATTCGAGAGATCGATCTAGAAATCAACAACTAAACCTGTCTTTGGAAGGAGAGAAGGTCTGAGAACATGTTGATGAGCGACTTCCGTGAGAGAAGGCAGAGGGTAACAGCGCAGTGAACCCAACTACGACATCCCCTACTACACTAATACACCGGCAGTCACCAACCACTCAACGCATCTGAACCATTACGAATCCATCTTGCTCCGCCTCACCCCTCTCCCAATGACCGTCTTCACCCACGGGCTCAATCATTATACCCGTCCTCGTCCCTCCCTCCAGCGTCCAAACGACCAGCAATGGCTTCTCCACCTCTTCACTCGCAACGAAGATGCCAGGAATACGTGCACCGGGTTTGCCATGGCAGTTGACGCTTGTATCAGCGGCGTCTTTCAAGGTTGGTAGGGTGATCCTGTCGTGGCGAGCCTTTCTTGTTTCGTCCCAAGACGATGACCATTCGATGCGATGCTTGGTTGCTCCAGGTTGTTGTACCGCAATTTCTATGTGGTGGGGGAAAGACTTTATGGTAGGGCAGGTGTATAGGCCGCGGATTTTGGTGGGGAAGTACAGTTCCTTGGGTTCGGAGAGTTCTTGCGGTGTTGCGTTGTTCCTTCCCTCAGCGGCCAGTTCGAACGCTCTGCAAGCTTCGGCATCTAGTTCGGCCTGAGGATTCGCTTTCGGTAACTTTACCCGGGACGACATAACGAAGCAGTGGCTGGTTCTTGGTAGTCTGGTACTCTTGGGTAATGTGAACTCGCGCGGACGAAGGAAAAGCACTGAACTTTATAGTAAATGCTAAACGTCACTGAGCTTGCTCTGGCTAGGCATATCAAACAGGAAGTGGTCGTGTGATGTATGCCCATGGCTAGTCTTTCGCAATATCCCAGGGAACAGACTTGGCAGTACTGCGATACCTTATTCATGGCTACTGATTGCGCCCTTGCGCAATCACGTCTCCGATCTCTTTAGAAACTCCGCCCAAGTCTCCAGATGACAATCGCCCTCATTCATATTCCGTCCATCTTCTTTCCCCTGTTCCTTTTGCGTGTCGTTCTCCCCGCTTCCCCTCTTCTCATGGTCTTTCCCGTCCTTTAACTGCTTCTTAGTTGGTGCCCTCCCTGCTTCGCGCGGCTCCATCTTCGCTTTCCCATCTTTACTTGGTGTTAAGCTCGACATGTTCTTATACCCTCACTAAATTTGTAGCGGACCTTTTAAGTATCCCGTGTAAAGCTATACAAGTGTTCGGTTGCTAGGAGGCGGAGAAAAGATGCGCGGGAGTCTTCTACGAAGGCGGATGCGTTTTTTCAAGAAGAGCGTCTCGCGGTTTGCGAGTGACACTGCCTACACGTGAATCAACAACGCAGGAGCGATCACGCGAAACATTGGTCAAAGTATAGCATCGTGGCACAGTTGTCATGCGGAAACAGAATGTAGTCTGTGAAATGGGTGTCATATATGAATAGTGTCTTGCAAAATGTGCGACTACCGTGACGTGAATTACTTCTCATCAAGAAATGTATAACAAGCCTTAATCCTCCCACCCACAATCGTCAAAACATCCACCCCCGTCAAACCCACATCCCCACTTCCACCTGCTTTAATCCCCCATTTAACTTTCGTCACCCAGACATCTTCTTCCTTGTCATCGTGTTTCAAACATTCAACTTCACCTGTACAAAACATTCTCAGCAATATATTTCCCTCGAAAAGATAACGAATATACGTACCTAGCGCAACAAATTCATCCCCTTCCCCACCCATCCCCTGTATCCCCTCCACCATCCCGCTAATCGCCTCATGCGATTTGTACACACTCAGCGCGTCTACGAAGAGGACGTCTGAACTGCTGACCCAGAGATCCTGAATCGCTTTCATACGTGTAGGCTGGGATTTCTCGCCGAATATATCGGTAAGGTTGAGGAGGGTAAGAGAGATAGCGAGAGATTGGGGTGTTGCGGGCATCGTTGCTGGGGGCTTGGGGGATGTGGTGAGTGTAGTGAGTGTAGTGAGTGTGGCAAATATAGTGGATGTGGTGAATGTGAGGGATTTGTTTGAGATGGTGAAAGGATAGGGGAAGGATGGAGGGAGGGAGGGAAGAGGGTAGGGGGTTTATGGTTCACGGGATTGGGGATGAGGGGAGGGAAGGAGGTGCCCAGGTGAGTAAGCTTCAGCGTGTCCAACGTAGCGTAGTACTTTTGGGTACGATACGGGATACGTCGTACTGTAAGCCGTACGTACAGGAGCTGTCAGGGGTCCGTACTGTAACCGTACGTAGGTGACGGTGAAGGAGCCGTAGTACGGCTGGGTACGGTATACGGCCCGGAGCTATCGGATTTAGGCCTGTGAGGCTGAAAAAAGTCTATACAGGCGAATTTTTAGTGTTGTCGATGTTGTAAGTGTTGTAGAAGCTGTCAGGGGTAGCTATAGAGCGTTGTGTTGGGTGGCTGTAGGACTCCTAGAATCTGGGTGAACATTCACTCTTGGCACCGCGCTAGTCTCTTTTAGGCAGTACGACGTACAGAGGCACTCAGGGGCCGTACTACGACTACAATCGTATCGTATATACAACCGTACAACAGATGGAATTGGGCCGCACGTACCCCTGAGTGCTCCCAAAAGTACCGTACTACGCTACGTTGGACACGCTGGTAAGCTTAAGGTATTTGCGCTAACGGGATTGGGAAGGAAGAGTAGCCTGCGCGTGCAGCGACGGGGATGGCATAGCTTGAATCTCAATTCCATAGGAGGAAAAGCGTATTTTTCCAATTCGGCGATGTGGAGAAATCTTGGTGAAGCATCTCTGCGACCACTGTCTTCTTCTCTAGCGAGTACGTTTCTCTACATCCTTCAACTTCCTCGCAACCACCAACCCACATCACATCACCACTCCAACTCCATCCTCTCAACAACAGGCCCCACACTCCCCCTCAACGCAGTCAACTTCGACCTCTCTTTAACCCTCGTATAAAAAACCCCACAATCCCTACTATCACACCTAATCTCCTCCCCCGGCGCCAGCCTCGCACAGCCTCGACAAACCCGTTCGACTTCCGCGACGCGTGTTTCGCTATCCCAGATCCTGTATTTGAGGTCGAGGAGGGAATGGGCGGGCCGCTTGAGACACTTTGCGCAGAGCGGGAGGGTGGCGTGGGGTGAGTCTTTGGGGGGATTGAGTTTGCTGCCTTTGAGACGTGAAGGTGGATTTTGAGGTAGTTTAGCCCGGCAGACCACACAGCTCGAAGATGTCATGTAGCTCTCTAGAGTTTTCTTGTTGCCACCACCACCACCGAAGAAGGCGTTACTCTTATCCTGTTTGACAGTCATGGGAATCGTGATATTGCGGATACGTTGCTTTTTGGGCATCTCATCGTACCAACCCCTTACATTCGCACCAACGAGATTGAAGATACGCTCGAGTGGCGGGATAAGGTTTTTGCTAATATAGTATTCAGCGTCGAGCTCGAGGTGGTCGTTTTGAAGCAACGTCTCGGGGCTAACGCAGCGGTCGATGAGGCGGGCGCCAGGCGCACCCGTAACAACAACATAAGGCACGCGTTCGCCGTACTGAGGTTCCGCTCGCGGGTCCGCAAGCATACGCTTTGTAGCGATGAGAGCACCGGGTGGCGGGGGCCCTCTATCAGAATACGTCCCTAGTTTGACTTCTTTGGCGAAGAGGAAGTCCTGGATGCTGACGCGGCCTTCCATGATTTTCGCGCATTGCGCCTGGAAGTAGCGTTTGACTTGGCTGAGATCCGAGGTGCGGAAGAGGAGCTTGAGGGCTTTTTCTTCGATTTTTTGCTCGGCGGGTGTGCCGTCTCGGCGGACGGTTTCGATGCCTTTGGCGTCGAAGTCGGGCTCGGTTTGGTTGCGGTGCTCGTATTTGAAGCCGACGTAGCGTTTTTTGGCGAGTAAGACGCAGGGATGGTATACTTTTTCGAACTTGAGCTTGATGGGTCGTGGGTTGGCGGCGGTAATGGCATCGGTTATCTCCTGGCCGATGGTGAAGGCTTGGTCTTTGGTGCGTCCTTTGAGATGGATGAATAGTGAATCAGTGTCTCCGTAGACGACCTCTGCACCCCACTTCTCATTAGCATGGATCATTGCGATCGCCTTCTCCAGGGTCTCTCGACCAGTCTGGACGATGCTGTCCGCTATTTCGGAACACGGCATACGACCAGAAAACGACGCAGATGCGTAGCCGTACGTGACGTTGGCCAATAGCTTCAACGCCAGCTGCCTATTGTTCAATAGCTGTTGCAGCGTTTTGTCGTCTTTGTCCTGCTTCATCCCACTCTTGACCATTACACGAGTCTCCAGAATCTCACCAAGCATCTTCGCTAGCAGTGACTTCCTCATTTCCGGCTTGACATACATCATGCCGTTGGGTGCAATGTTGATGTGGTCTTTTACCAATTCCAACAATTGCGGCTCGCGCTTGAAGTCCATGAAACCCATCTTATTCTGGCCTCGCCAACTGACGATACGTCCGAGACATGTCGAATAACAATAGTTGTAGGCGATCATGACACTGGGGTATAACGATTGGAAGTCCAAAACGAGAACGGGGCTGGAATAGAATGCACTCTGCGGTTCCATGACCAGCGGTAGACACTCGAGCGCATTCTGCTGACCAACCTGCTTCCGACTTGGTGAAACGAGAATGAAATTCTCCGGCTTTGCAATGCGGAACATGGTCGACTCTACCTTGAACTGAGAGCCTCGCGAAATGACTGCAAAGAAGTCTACTCCAAGTAGGCGAGCTTGCTCACTCGTACGAGGCACAATTTCGTTGGCTTCCAAGATGTCGAGATTGAGTTGTACGCGTGTGAGGAAATGATCGACCACCTTTGTAAGATCTCTTGGCTTGCCATTTGTGTACCACGTCGTGAGATCTGAGTGTTGGTAATGCGGTATGCGTTTGTGTAGTAAGTGGAAGACCACATTCTCCATGGTGTATTGTAGCAGGTTCAGCTCTCCGCGCATGGCTCTCCAGATGTTGATCATGTGGCGGCCGGTGATGCGGATTGTAGAGGTGTGCGTAAAGCCCCAGCGGTCGGCTTCCTTCCCAAATCTGCCATGGGACTGCGACTTCATCCTGCTGATCTCGTCGCACAGATTATACTCGTACTTCATCCTCGCGCGTTCAATGAGGTAGCCCCAAGAACCATTGTGTACCTCATATCCTGTGAGTATATCTGGGTCGAACTGGCGGACGATATCGACAACGCGATTGATGAGATCTAGCTCGTCTTCCTCATATTCAACCTCCATTGGAACTTGCTTGGCAATACGCATAGCGATGCCGTCTTCTTCGGAGAAACACAGTATACCGGTAGTCGGCCGGTCAGTAGTGGCATTCTCTTCGCCTTGCACGCTCCAGAAGATGCACTGAATCTCATCCTCAGCTGGATCTGGTACCAGAGAGCCTCTAGAGTTGACGTGTACCTCCAAGCTCATGATGCTCATATACTGAGATTCGTGCTTAACGCTAGTCGTTTTCTGCTTTTGCGAGTACTTGAAGCCATGCGGGTTCTTCTGCGTTGGGCCCTCGATTTGTGATGGATAAACGGGGTTGAATTTGCGCACTGGCACAGGCATCGGTTCGCCCTTTGATTTAGACTTCGCCACTTTACGTTGCTTGACGTGCCGGCTGGTCCAGCTCTGTACTTCTTTGAAACTAGGTGGAGGCTTTGAAAGTTCCCAGTGACGCAAACCACATTTACGCGATCGCTCTTGAAATGTGGCGTCTTGTTTCTTCTTGTCCACCACAACTGCGGGATACTCTCCAATGTTGGCAAGAGAATCACCAGTGGGGTCGAATGGAGGAAGATATGGTATTGTGGTGCTTTGTAGTTTGAACTCGCGACCCGCATACTCTCTTGGCCGCTCTGGAACATCCTTCTCTTCGCTGTAGTAGGCGTCCCGGTAGATTACCGGTGGAAGGCCGGCATGCATCATGGTTCCATTGACGACCTCGGCCGATGGAGGTAACGAGCCATAGTAAACAGTGCAATGCTTGTGCTGGAATGATGTATCCAGCCGTCGCACAAGAGAGGCTACCTTGGAGCGAGCTTGCGGGGTACTGCTGTTCGGCACCATTGGCGAGGTCTTTTGATGCGTCCACGGGGTTACAGGAACGAGTTGCGAAGGCCTGGCCGTAAGATGTTTAGGCCCAGGTGTCTTAGGCCCTTCTTGAGAGTTTGAATAGCCCGATTGACTCAAACGATGAAGCGTCTCCGGTGCATTCGGGTTCTTTACTACAGGGAACGAGAAAGTAGTCGGCCCTCCTAAGCCTTGAGCTTTGATACTCGTTTGTGACGATTGACCTGGAGGAGGCGGATCCTCGTTCTTGTTCAGGGCGTTGCGAAAGGAGACACGTCTATTGGTACCCTGCGTTGCTGCCAAGATCCGTTGACGCTTGTTGTACTCTTCGTCTGCCGGTTCGAGAGAGCGCTTTCGCTGGCTCATCGGGCTGCTGGACTCTGGTTTTTGGCCATCGTCATCGGGGTCGACTAGATCAATACCTTCGTCGATGAGTGCATCTTCAGCTTCCATATCACTAGAGCCCTTGAGTAGAGATTGCGTTAGGGGATCCAGGGATTGCTGTTCTTCGGTGTCGGAATGATTGACGGCGTCCGCTGGATCGTCGTCCTCGCCGTCACCAATGGGACCGTCACTGTGACGCTGCCTGGATTCTGGCTCGTCAGACGCAAGCTGAACGTCAATGTCAACAGGCGCACCACCTTGTTCTAACACGTTGGCATCTTGCTCGAAGTCGTCATCTGGGATCTGCTGTGTAGACAAGACCTCGGGATAGAGATCTTCGATACTCTCTACAGCAGTCCTGACACGCTCCTGGCCAGGGATGGGTTTCACGAAACTGTCAAATCTGGCTTTGCCCTTTCCTTGTCTTTCCTCGGTGATTAGCTTGTCGATAATTTCCCGGTATTCCTCTTCGTGAATCCATCCACCGGCCTTGGTGTTCCGTACATCAGCCGACATGGACACAAGCACTTCCGCGGGAAATGGACTGCTTGAAGGATCAGAGAGGCCCATACGACGTTTGCGACGACGCGTCTCGTCTCTCCAGAGACCAGCCATGGACGGCACGGATTTGTCGTCTGGATTACGTGGCATTTGGCTCGATCGCTCTAGGAAGTCGTGGTGGATGGGTCGATATTGCAGTTCGTGCCGATTGAGGATGTCCTGGACGCATATATCGACTTCGAGGGTGCAATGACTTTGACGTGGGTATTGATCCTCAGCAGCTATGAGTTCATCCGGGATAGATCGATCGTGCCACTTGTGGACGGTGGTATCGACCACTTCGCTGTCTGGAACGGGTGCCCGGAACTGTACTTTTGCGCAGTTGATCCAGTCGCACCCGTACAGATTGTAGTCGCACATCCATTGGAGGAGGTACTGCAGGTGAGCCTCGTATGGCTGGAACACCCTGTTCAAGATTGCTCCCTGGTGCAGAAGGTCGGTGAATCGAGTCATGTGCATAGGGTTGAGCATATAGACTTTCAGGAAAATCTTGTATCCAACACTGTATCCAAAGAAGGGCACACCCTTGACGAGAGATATGTGGCCAACGTAGATCGACTTTCCATCGTATGCATTTCGGCGGTACGCGGTGGCGAGGGCATGGTCGATGGAGGCACGGAGCTCCAGGATGTACGCATTAACTAACAGTGGTCAGCTTGATTCCAATTGCACGGCTGTACACGCACCAACATCCTTCTCCAAGCTGCCATCGTACTCCAGATACAGATAAGGCAGCGCTCCATGGATATGAGCGCACACCTTCTGCCCTGTCTCGGTCGCACCAAACGCTCGGATTACGGGTACTTGGGGTGCGCCCAGTCGGCCTGCAGGACCGGGATTGCGCCGAAGAAGAGGGTCGATGTCTGTCGGAGCCGCCTGGTAGTTGTCGATGCAGTTCAGGCGAAAGCGGAAAGTATCCATGACGACACAGCCGGTATCCAGAAAGTGTGTGCGAAAGTGAAGATTCGCATCGTGTTCAGGAGATCATCCAAGGTGGAACTCGCGCATCGCACGCGACAAGGGTCTCGGTGGCGGAATGGAGTGAAAGCGACGCGAGGCACAACAAGCGCGACTGGGCTCGCGTGGTCCCGTGACGTGCGGGATCGACGCTGCAGCCAGCCCTACGCCACTAGTCGGCGGTCCACTTTGGCCGCCAATCTAAAGCTTCTACCAACTGACAACCTTCACCACTCAACGCGACCGAGGCATCCTCCCACGCCCAACATGCCGCCCTCCCAACCCAAGAAGCCCGACGTCTCCGCCGCGGCGAAAGAGCGCAACGAATACATTCCCTCGTTCATCTCGAAGAAGCCCTTCTACGCCGTCGACGAGACTGGCGAGGACAACACCGATTACCTCGAGCATCAGCGTCTGCAGAAGCAGGAGCAGGACTCAAAATGGTACGATCGCGGCAAGAAGGTCGGCCCGGCTGCGACCAAGTTTCGCAAAGGCGCATGCGAGAACTGCGGCGCCATGACACACAAGAAGAAGGACTGCTTGAGCCGGCCGCGTAAGGCAGGCGCAAAGTTCACAGGCAAGAACATCGAGGCGGACGAAGTCATCCAGGACGTACAACTAGGCTTCGATGCGAAACGCGATCGATGGAACGGCTACGATGCATCGCATTTTGAGGAAGTCATCGAGGAGTACAACGCCATGGAGGAGATCCGGAAGAAAGCAAAGGAAGCTGAGAAGGGCGACAAATCCGATGACGAGGATGAGGGCGACAAGTACGATGCCGAGACGGACATGGGAAGGAAACAGGCCACATCCACACGGAACCTGCGATTACGAGAAGACACGGCAAAGTATCTGCTCAACCTGGATCTTGACTCAGCCAAATACGACCCCAAGACGCGCTCCATGGTCGACAGCGGTGCCACAGCCGACAACGCCGCTCAACTGGTAGCAGAGGAGGGATTCATGAAGGCGTCTGGAGATGCAGCTGAGTTCGAGAAGGCGCAGCGATATGCTTGGGAGACACAGGAGCGCGGAGACAAGAACAAGCTACATTTGCAAGCCAACCCTACGTCCGGCGAGGTCATGCGGAAGAAGCAGCTCAAAGAGGCTGAGGAGATGGCAGCAGCCCGGAAGAAAGCCTTGGCGGAGAAGTACGGCACACAAGAAAAGTTCACCGACGATACGCTTCGAAAGACGGCCGTCACAGAGAACGAGCGATATGTCGAGTACGACGAGCGAGGCGGCATAAAGGGCGCACCAAAAATCAAGGCAAAATCAAAGTACCCAGAAGATGTGCTGCTCAACAACCACACATCAGTCTGGGGCAGCTGGTGGTCCAACTTCCAATGGGGCTTTGCATGCTGTCACTCGACAGTCAAGAACTCGTATTGCACGGGCGAGGCTGGCAAGGAGGCTTTTGAGCTGGCAGATCGGATGCGCACCGGTGCTGACCTGGACGAAGTACCCAAGGAGATAGCATGGAAGGAAGAGGCTGTCCTGGAGGAACACGTACCCAATGCACCCGACCGCGCCGAAAAAGCAAAGAACGATGCTGCCAGTCGGAAACGAGCTCTCGACGAGATGACGGGAGGCGTAAATGAGGAGGAAATGGAAGAGTATCGCCGCAAGAGGACAATGGCCGCGGACCCTATGGCTGCCTATCTCAGCAAGGGAGGGAAAAGTGAAGCGGTTTGAGGTGTCGAGCCTTTCTCGACGGCGTCATAGGGCATCAATATTGTATTCGTAGCATTGCATGGCGTTCATCATACCCTGGAGTCGCATCTAAGATAGCATGTAAAATGACATAGTAGTTCCTGGTGATCGCTGCGCTGGCCATGCGTGATCGGTACAGTTCACACAGCAAGGGTGCATCCAGCGAAGTCATGCAGCCCTGTTAGTGAAGACGCATCTTGTCGCCCTCCATCACGGATGCCAACTCAGACCCGAGTCGGTTGCGCATGCAGCCGCGTATGCGTTGTTAGTCCATGGCGAAGGCAGCAGTTTAGGCCAGGATGCACAGCCCAAGTGGAGGAGTTCGCGGCACCCGATGCAGCAAGAATGCGCTTCTAGCTGCATGGCTCGGAAGATTCTAGCTCGAGTAAAGAGGTTTTGCCTGCGCGCAAATCTAGACTTCAGTATTAGATACAAGGGTTAGACCTGGTCGGGGGTGAAGGCGATGACGAAGCGCCAAGCTGCACGAACCACCTCCCGGGGTCGAGTAGTAGGAGCTCCTCTGATGGTTGACTGACCCAACAGCGCAACCAGATATCTCAACCCCACACCTCCCCATTTCCGCGCATTGCTTTTGCGCGCCTTCTCCGACACCGACCGTTAACCTTTCCCTTCTACACTTACCTACAACTACGAACAGCAAGCTCGGAAAGAGCTCACGGCGACCAAGATGGCGCTCTACGGAAGCTCGCGCAACGTGGACATGGGCAAGTACGTATATCACCATCATTATGCCGGCACCCTTTAGCAGTTGGGCGCGAGATTTCAACAGGAGAAATGCGACATGGCCTAACATGTCTCAATTCAGGCAGGAGTCGGAGCTTGCCATCAACATTCGCAAAGCCACGAGCATCGAAGAGGTCTCCCCCAAGCGTACGTATCGGAACCCCTCAGCACGCGCGTGGAACTCACAATAGCGCAGGGAAACACGTGCGAGCATGCATCGTCTACACATGGGATCACAAGAGTTCCGCGTCTTTCTGGCAGGGCATGAAAGTGTAAGAGCGCACTATGCTGCCCAATCCGCCCAATGCTAATAGCATCTTCCAGGCAGCCAATTCTCGCCGACGAGGTGCAGACCTTCAAAGCGCTCATTACCGTCCACAAGGTCCTCCAGGAAGGCCACCCTATCGTTCTTAAGGAGGCGCAATCGAACACCAGCTGGCTTGAGAGCCTGTCACGGGGCTCTACGGTCGGAGAAGGCATGCGGGGATATGCGCCGCTCATTTCAGAGTACATCTACTATCTCATGGCCAAGCTTGCTTTCCACCGACAACATCCGGAGTTCAATGGTACGATACGCGGCAGCAGGACACAGGCAGTTGGCTGATCGGAATAGGCACATTCGAGTATGAAGAGTACATCAGCTTGAAGTCCATTAACGACCCGAACGAGGGCTACGAGACCATCTCCGATCTTATGACCCTACAAGACCAGATCGATGCTTTCCAGAAGCTCATCTTCTCCCATTTCCGAAGCGGCGCGAACAACGAATGTAGGATAGCGGCGTTAGTGCCACTGGTTCAGGAGTCCTATGGTATCTACAAGTTCATCACCAGCATGTTGCGCGCAATGCACACCAGTAAGGACCAGAGTCTCGGTTGATTTGCGACCCAACTAACCAGCGTAGCACTCGGTGACGACGAAGCGCTCTCTCCTCTACGCGGCCGATACGATGCCCAGCATTACCGTCTCGTCAAATTCTACTACGAATGCTCAAATCTTCGATACTTGACCAACCTCATTACAGTGCCAAAGCTGCCACAAGAACCACCGAACCTGCTCTCTGAAGACGAGAGTGCGCCCGCGCTACCTCAACGACCCCGCAACGAGAAGCCCGAACCCGCTCGCGCTCCATCAGTCGACCCAGAGCCAATCAACGAGTTTTGGAAAGACAACCAGCGGAGGCAGCAAGAGGAATACGAGGCTGAACAGCAGAGACTACAGAGGCAATGGGAGGAGGCTCAGCAACAGCAACAGCAGCAAGCGATGCAGGCACAACGTGACTTCGAGGAGCAACAACGGCTTCAGGCAGAGCAAGCTCGGTTGGCGCAAGAACAGCTCATGCGCGAACAGTACCAACAGCAGACACAGGGTCGCCTTGCTGAGCTTGAGCGCGAGAACCTAAACGCGCGGGCACAGTACGAACGCGACCAGCTGATGCTGCAACAATACGACCAGAGGATGAAAGCACTGGAGGGCGAGATCAACCAGATGAACCAGAACTTCCAGCAACAGATGGGCTCGCGAGACGATCAGATAAGAGCACTTCAGGAGCAGCTCAACACATGGAGATCAAAGTACGAATCGTTGGCCAAGCTCTATTCGCAATTGCGTCATGAGCATCTCCAGCTACTGCAAAAGTTCAAGGCGGTCCAACTCAAGGCGAATTCCGCCCAGGAAGCCATCGATGGGCGAGACAAGCTGCAACGCGAGCTGAAAACCAAGAACTTGGAACTGGCAGATATGATCCGCGAGCGCGACCGAGCGCTCATGGAGAAGGACCGTCACACTGGTGGCCACCGCGAGGAGACCGAGAAGTTGAAGAGGGAACTCCGTGCTGCCCTAGACAGAGCCGACAACCTCGAGCGCGGCAAGGGCTCAGAACTTTCGGCAATGTTGTCAAGACACAACCGAGAAATCGCAGACCTCGAGGAAGCGCTGCGGAACAAGACCCGCGCGCTAGACGAGTTCCAGATGAAGTACCGTGAAGGTGACTCTGACCTGGAGCGTCAACTGCGCGACAAGGAGGAGGAGCTGGAGATCTTCCGTGCTGGTATGGACCAGACGCTACTCGAGCTGAACGAGCTGAAGCTCAATGCTGGCACCAACGATGATGTTCTGGATGGTCACTTGGACACAATTATCCAAGACAGCCTACAGAAGATCAACGACCTCATCGACTCCGTCCTCCAGAGTGGTGTACAGCGTGTTGACGATGCGCTGTACGAGCTCGACTCCCCCATGCAGGCTGGAAACCAGAATGCCACCGGCGCGTACGTGCTTTCGCAGATCGAGAAGGCATCAACATGCACCATGGAGTTCTCGACAGCGTTCAATAACTTCATTGCTGACGGGCCGAACGCCAAGCACGCCGAGGTTATCAACGCCGTCAGCAACTTCGGTGGCGCTATCGTCGATGTTTTGGTTAACACCAAGGGACTGACGCGATTTGCTTCTGATGAGAACAAGGCTGACCAGCTCATCAACGGCGCGCGGGCTTCCGCAACCTCCACCATCAGATTCTTCCGTAACGTCCAGTCCGTGCGCATGTACGACATGGACGCCGAGCAAAAGATCAACGTCGTCATCAACAACAGCACAGAAGTCGTGCGCAACCTGCAGAGCCTGTCCAAGCTCGCAGATGCCTTCGCACCCAAGAGCAAGATCACCAACGCCTCCGGCGATCTCGGCGACCTGGTCGACAACGAGTTAACCAAGGCCGCCAACGCCATCGACGCGGCTACCGAGCGCCTGTCCAAGCTGATGAAGAAGCCCAGAGACCAGTACTCGACCTACGAGCTCAAGATCCACGACTCCATCCTCGAAGCCGCCATCGCCGTCACAAACGCCATTGCGCAGCTCATCAAAGCCGCTACCGAGTCCCAAAAAGAGATTGTCCGCGAAGGAAGGGGCAGCATGTCCAAAACGCAATTCTACAAGAAACACAACCGCTGGACCGAAGGTCTCATTTCCGCCGCCAAAGCCGTCGCTACATCGACAAACATGCTCATCGAGACGGCCGACGGCGTCATCTCCGGTCGCAACTCGCCCGAACAGCTCATCGTCGCTTCCAACGACGTTGCCGCTTCCACGGCTCAGTTGGTGGCTGCCAGCCGTGTTAAAGCTAGCTTCATGAGCAAGACGCAGGATAGACTCGAGAGTGCATCCAAGACTGTCACTGCGGCTTGCAGGTCGCTTGTCAGGCAAGTGCAGGAGATCATCGCCCAGAAGAATAGGGACGAGGGTGAGGTTGTCGACTACAGCAAGTTGGGCGACCACGAGTTCAAGGTCCGCCAGATGGAGCAGCAGGTATGTATTCATCAACGATCCTTTGGCGGAGAACAGTCGCTAACATGTGGTTGTAGGTCGAGATTCTTCAGCTGGAGAATTCGCTGGCGCAGGCTAGGACTCGGTTGGGTGAGATGCGTAAGCTTTCTTATCTTGAAGAGTAGATGTGGTCTGCGAGTTTGGCGGCTTGGAGTGTGTGTGGATAGCTGCTGGTTTATCGTGGATAGTTACCATTCCTTATTATTTGTTCTCATGGTGGACACCGTCTTTGTAAAGAAAGCTTGTTCTTCTTCCGGTGTAGTCTTGAAAGAAAGGGAAATTTTGGATGCCTTTGGCATTTGTTGTGATTGACATTTATCGTACATGAACCCCCCTCAACCCATCTCACCCCTTTCTCTTCACCCCCAAGTTAGGCCATCATCCCATCCTCGATCGCCTCAGCTGAAGATCCAACGGAAACCCCTCTCCCTCCCCCTTCTTATACAACACCAAAGCCTCCCCAACCGTAAACATAACCCCCCTCTCAATCCTGGCTTTCGCCTTGGCCTCTTTCAGCTCAACCTGCCTGCGCCGAATCTTCTCCAGACAAGCTTTCATCTCGTCTGCAGCCAACACGCGCTTCTTCTCCTCCTCCTCGCGCTTCTTCTCTTGCGCTTGGCGGTTGAGCTTGCCGACTTCAATGCCAATCATCTTGGCCGAAAACGCCTCGGCCGCGACAATGTCGTCGGCAAGCTCTCCTACCTCCTCTGCTTGGAAGGGGGGAGGCTGGTCTGTAGTCTCGAACCCGGGCCATGAAGGTGGGTTTTGCTCATCGAACAACCTCATGTAGGTTGGTAGGTATGGTAAGAGGTGGACTTTGACATGCTGTTAGCATCATGTAGGCGGCAGGGTCTGGTATGAACTCACCAGAACAACCCGGGTAGGCATTGACGGCGGCAAGATGCTCGCCCACGGAGACATCTTTGATGCAGGGACAGTAGAGGGTCGGGCGGTGAGGGCGGGGGTCTTGGTAGACGAGGTGGCCGCATACCAGGCAGAAGCGTACGAGCCGGTTGGAGTGGAGATGGTACGGAGTTCCACGGAGTAGGTCGTCGTCGGCGTCCCCCATGGTGGGTACACCGCATTGCAGGTCGCAGTCTCTGCATACGCCGAGAGACTGGTCGTCGAAGTTGGGATCGTTGGGTTCAACGGGGTAGACCTGGTAGCATAGCCGGCAGCCGAGATAGCCCTTGCCTGGGGTGTATGGGTTGAGTGTGTAGGGAGTGCATTTCGCATAAGCGCGCTGTACCACGAATGCGATCTTGTCCTGGAGCTTCGGGCCGTGGGAGAAGCCTACTTCGACCAGTCCGCAGAAGTGACGATGAGTCTGACAGAGGCGAAGCGCGGTCTGGTAGTCGGTTGCCTGGATAATGCCACAGAGGATGACCGGTGGTAGATCCAGTAGGCTGACAGGGGCCGTGATCTGAAGTCCTTTGCTACAAGGTTAGTCGGAAGGTTAGTTAAGATCCAAGAAGCGAAGTAGAAGAAGCGAAGTAGAAGAAATGAGGTAGAAGAAATGGAGTAGAAGCAATGAAGAGGCTATGTAGAGGCAATGCACGGAGGTTAGTCATGTCGTACAAATCCAGAGTAAGGTTTCGGGCTCCAGGGTCGTTTGCTCGATGTCCCGCGCTCTGTTGGGCAGCGACGCCAGATTTAGGCGGTGCCATCTTCTGAGCAGAGATTGTGAGAGCTTGGTAGCAGCTGGTATCTGGCTGTGATCTGGCTGTGATCTGATTGTGATCTGGTCGTGATTTGACTGTGCTTCACAAGTATCTCCTAGAACGCTGTATTCAATCACGTAAGTTGTGCTCAGTTAGTGAATGATCAAATGTTGGCAGGTCGGGTTCTTGTCAACAAACAGAACAAGTTCAAAATCGTTGTTTGTGCTGTGCCCAGGTGGACTGTGGAGAAGTGGGGCTGAGCTTGGCGGGACACGCGATCACGTGTGTGGACTAGCGCGCTTCTCGAGTAAACAGCGACATCTGGATGGAGACAATGCGCCCGCTATAGCATCTATTGACCGACTTTGTAGTACGTCGAAATCCGTCGCAATCATCATGCCCACCGCCACGAATCCAGAATCGCGCTCTCCATCTCCCACACCCGCCCGACCTATCGCAGACGCACCCGGCCCGCGCGCGCAAGGTCTGATCAATGTATTCAACCAAGCGTCCAAAGCGACCTTGGACAAGTGCTCGGTCAAGAACTTCGCTTCGTGCTTCCCAACAGCCGCACAGTATAGCCCAGAGGTGTTGGACAACTTGAGAGGGCAGATTGTGGATCAGTTGGACCGGACATGGAAGAGCAACTTCGAGGACATCATGGAGAGGAGGAATGTCGTTAGGCTGCTCAACTCGCTGGACCAGTGCATAGAAGATGCGAAACTACGGAAGAAACGCGCGGAAGCGAGCGCGAATGGTGGACCTGTGGAGACGCCTGTGCCGTGAGTTTTGCGAATGCGCTCGCTCTTGTTACTCAAGGATGCTGACTCGAGGGTATAGACCGCATACACTTACTCCAGCCGAAATACATCTAGCGCACCTCATGCCTTTCCTCGAGAAGCAGGCGACCGATATGAACACCAAGCTCGTCGAGACTCAGCAGTCAAACACCGAGCTGCTTTCGACCGTCACCGCACAACGCGCCGAGATAGAAGCTCTAGTACGGGGCCTGGAGAATGTTATACAGGATCTGGATGCTAGCGCGCAGATCATGGCGCAAGACGAGGTTCAAGAATTGAGCAGGGAGACTAGGGATCTTGAGATGGAGATGAGGACGTGATACTGCGGGGAAGAATAATACCCTCAGCATACTAGGAGCTTTCATTTTGAAGACTCAGGAAGATATTCGCGTGTCTACAGCGATCGCGCTACGCGCTTAGGCCCAGCATCAGACCGCTAGCACCGGGTCCGACAGCCTGCTTAGTTACCCGAACAGGGCTCTCGTCAGAGCCACGTGTGCCTGAGACGCATAGGATGGAGATGGCGGCGAAACCATACTCGCAGATGGTGAGAGAAGATAGATGCAGGAACGGTGGTCGAGGGTACGCATGGTGACAGTAGCTGAGATCGCGAGTCCCTGCTAGTGGAACACAGTAAATGGACGTGTCAGCTACCGCGAGGGCGAACAAGAGAGATATCAGGTGCATCAACCTTGACAGCAAGAGTTGAAGGCTTGAGAACAGACAATTGACTTATCGTCGCAAAAGAGGAGATACAAAGGGTTGTACAACGTAACTTCTGAAAAATACAACAATACTATGAGTAAACGCATCTATCCATTCCAAGCCTAGACTATACACACACCACCCACATCACCCCACCCACTCTACGGCATATAGCACTTAAGCAACGCCCCCAAACTCAACTCCCGCCCCGTCTGCAACAACAGATTCAACGCCCCAGTACCAAGATACACAGGACACTTGATCTTCTGCGACTCCTCCACCGCCATCCTCAAACTCTCCGCATACCCCCCCAGCACAGCCCCCTTCCCATCCTCCTTCCCCTCCAGCACCGCAACCATCTTCTCCCCCACATCCTTGAACATCGCGCTTCCACCCGCGGCATCACACGCCAGCTCGTAGAACTGCGGTAATGGGATACCGACGTGTTTGGCTAGCGAGATGGCTTCGGCGGCGGAGACGAGGTGGATGCCTGTAAGCAGGTTGACTACGAGTTGGAGTTTCGCTTCTTTCTCTTCGGAGGAGAGGGTGGTGGTGATGCTGGTAACGGGGTCGGAGGTCCAGAGGCGGACGAGGCCGGCGTCGTCGTTGGCGCCCCAGCCGCGGTCGAGGGCGGAGAAGTAGACTTGTTCTGCGGCGGAGCAGAGGGTTGATGGGAAGGAGACGCTGCGGGATGTGGATGTTATGATTCCCTGTCCCACATTATCAGTAACGATGCCACGTCATTTTGGGATTCAGGGGGTGTGGGAGGGTTTTACTTACGGTGTCCTTGAGGATAATCGTCACAGCACTCGCTCCGGGGAAATAATCCTCCTTCAGCGTCCTCTGACTCCTATTCTCAAACATCCAACTCCACCCCGTACTCCCGAGTACCTTGTCGTACACATCCTGTCCGTTCAAACCCAGTCGAGCAGCGAACCCATATGCTTCGCTCAGAGACAGGATCTGAATAGCGGCAAGCACCTGATGAACCATCTTCATATTGCTGCCAGCCCCAACCCCGCCATCAACAATGAAAAGCTTGGAAGGCGCAGACATCTCTTCTAGAAGCCACTGCCCTTTTAAAAACGCCGCGGACGACGCGCCCGCCATGATCGATAAAGTACCATCAGCAGCCCGTCCCGCACCACCAGAAACAGGCGCATCAATAAACAAAACATCATCGCGACCAATATCCCCCAGCTCTTTCTCCACACTCTTCGCGTACGCACTCGGTACAGTCGAGCACAACAAGAGCGTCGCTCCCTTCGGCAGCGCACCCACAATGCCGTCTTTATCGAACAGCGCGGGTTGAGCCTGCATCGCCGAGGCGACCATGACGATGTAAAACGGCTTGTCACGCGCAGACTCGGACAGTGAGGTTGAGGGTACGCCTCCTGCGGCTTTGAATTTCTCCAGCGAAGGCGGGTAGACGTCGAAACCGGTTACGGGGTAGCCTTGCTTGACGAGATGGGTCGCCATTCCTATGCCCATGGCGCCTAGGCCGCAGAAGCCGATTTGCGGTTTAGACGACATTGTTGGGGTGGTTTTGGGGTTTTCCTGGTTGGGTTTGAAAGGGAAGGACCAGCTTGGTGTCCCAAAGTATCCTATCTCAACGCTGGATGTTGAACGTTGACGGGACGAATACTGCACGGAAGCCGTTATCCACAGATGCAGTAGCTCTCTTCGGTGGTACTCTTCTTTATTTTGTTCCCAGTATCTAGCTCTTTCTTAATTGTGATACACCCGATTTGACGTCTGAAGTTGAGAGTTGGAGTCAAGATGTCAGTCACAAAACATCGACCACGTAACTCCTCCCCCCAGACCCCCACAGCTAAACGTCACACGCCGCTACGTTCCCCAGGGAAAATGGCCTTGGGCCGGCAAAAGACCCGTCTTCGGTCATTGACATTCATCCTGGTTGCCCCGCACTATGAGCGAAACCGGTTAGGTGGGGTATCTCTCACCCGCCGAAAGTGGGTCGTCGGCAAATGACCGATGGCATTGAACATCGGTGGGCGGGCCGGCTCGATAAAAGGATGCTGCAACTTGTCGATGAGAACGAAGTGCATCCGGCCGGTGGGCTTTCAGGTTCGGGGTAATGTATGCCGTGACAGAGATTGAATACCTACAGACCCACATGGTGCTGCGACGATAAGAGCTTCTGGACTTCACTCACACAGCGATATCTGCACATGTCGCATCATATTCAACGAAGCATATAGATTATCTCATTACACTATTACTGCCAGTTTCCTACGAAAACGCGCGATGAAAAAATCGTCAAAAAGGTCATGATATCCGTGTACGCAAAAAAGCATACTTCCAGCTTCTAGTTTCGATTGGTCATCCAGAAAGCCTTTTCCTTCACATAGCCCAAGCCACATTGATCGGATATATCGGATCCAAAACTGCAGTGTCGTCGTCGCTCATTCCATCGGGGGTATAAGTCGTCAGTCCTTGGCAAGACGGACTATTAGTGGACAGAGAGTGGAACACTGCTTAAGCCGTCAGTGACGACGTCTAAGCAGCAACAACCCTCTCGTCCTCGCGTCCGCGCTGGTGCTCACTAGCGATGGTGGAAGTGACATCGTCGTCGAGATCTTCGCCCTCGTAGCCGTTGCCCTGGTGCTGCTCGGCAGGGATCCACAAGCCGGACTCCCTGTCGAGGGCCTGGTCTTGGCCAGAGAGGTCAACACCCTCGCCCATGTTGCGGTTCTGGTTGCGGCGACGCTGAGAAAGGGTGCGCGATCGCTGGGAGAGCTTGGAGGAGACAGAGGCGTTCTGAGACACCCAGTTGGTAAGGGCGTCCTCGCAGTCTTGGATGATGCTGTGGTATGTTAGTGGAGGTTTCTCATCGGAACGAGTAGATAAACTTACGCCTTGCTAGCCTCGTAGCCATCGTAAGCCTGGCGGGTCTCTCCGGGAGTGACGGGGGTGTCGTCGACCAGCTCGAGCAAGTGCTTTCCGTAGCCGGCGATAATGGCAAGCTTCTCGCAGTGCTCGCGCATGGCATCGAATTGGTACGTGAAAGCTGCCTTGAGCTTCTCACGGGTGATGTTGGAGAGTTGGGCCTCTGCGACGAGGGACTCGGCCTCAGCGCGTACAAGCTCCTGCTCGAGGACAACGATCTTGGGAGAGTTGGGCTCCTTGTACTTCAACTGAGCAATCTGGTCGGTGATCTTCTGCTTGCCTGTTTGGACGTAAGCGTCAATCTGACAGCGCGCACATAGTAGACTTACGGTCACGGCTGGGCTGGACGGAAGCCTCAATGTTGCGGATGCTCTTGATGGTGACGCGGTATTGGTCGTAACGGTCAACATACTGGTCCTCGAGCTCACCGATCTCGTAGATGAGGACACCGAGCTTGTCAGTGACGTCAGAGACGTCGTCGTCGCAAGCCTCGCCCCAAATGGAGAGTTGTTGCTGTGTGGCCAGTTAGTACTACGCAGAGTCGCACAGGGTTGTGCAAGCTTACTGCGACCTCCATGCGCTCCCTGGAAACAAGCTCCATGCTGCGCATGACGTTCTTCTCCATCTTGACAAGTTGTGACAGCTTCTTTGCAAGGTCGGGTCCGAAGGCACCAGCGGACTTGTGGCGGAAGGTGTGGCCTGTATGGTAGAGGGCCAGTCAGCAACTGTAGCATAAGAAAGCATTCTATGAACAGTCTGGACGCTATCCGGGAGCATCAACGCTCGAAATGGTCGTCATTGCTGAGCCATGCGACGAGCTCTGCACATGCGGTATGCAAAAATGGCATTGCGCGAAGCTCCTCGCACGATTCGCGTCGGGACTGGAATCAAGACCAAAGTGGGCATAACCGTATCTGGAGGACGTACCGATGTTGGCCTTGCCAAAGAAGCGTCCGCTCTTGGTCGAGGACGAAGGGGGCGGGGGGCTCTGAATCTGCGACGCCGTGGGCGCGCGAGACTGGCGCATGCTGTAGGTCCTGTGCATATTGGCGGTGGTGTTCTGGCGATTGATCAAGTGTGGATTGGAGGAATGTAGTCGTGCTTGAAGTTTCGGGGGCGGCGCGGTGTTGATATGGAAGGCGCAGAGATGTCGCGGTATGACGGAGGTTTTGTTTAGGGGACTTCAATGACGTAGCGTTTGCCTAGCCCCACTCTCCCCGTGGCGATCATGTTCTCGGACACGCTACCTTCCCTCACATCATGCACATCCTCCACACTGCGACATTGGCACGCCCAAACCAGCATAGAGCATCCTTCTACGACCCTGAGTACCTGCATTTGGACCCAGACCCTTTCTCGTGGTTTGCACTCGCATGCGACACACATATCGTACACAGTCAGACAATGGTTGCCCTGCTTGCGCTGATCCCACCTAGCTTGGGGCCAGAACTTTTGGCGCCAGTGGCTATGTTCGATCCGGCTGATGTGACGTTGATGTGTGCCTGTTTTCGGGACCCATGGGCGCCATGACAACCGCACTACCAGGAAATCGTCTCTCCCTAGACCCTCGGAAGGAGCCATTCAAGTCGTCTATAAATCAGGTTGCGCATCTAATAAAGTTCAAGTGGTTACTTTCTGCAAGTTTTCAATGCTCGCCAGGACAGCGACTACATGGCAGCGGAGATGTTGCTGTAGAGGAATGGACTTCGTTGCCGGAGGTTCCGCGACGTGCGTGTACAGCACTGGTGCAGCGTGGTTATCTTCGCAATTCCAAATACACGCTTGCAATGGCAAGCTTTGGCCTATGGCAGAAACTTGGTTTTCTCAAAGTCTACACTGCCCATGTATAACTCGTGCATAAAACCATGGTATATCGCTAGATCATCATGCTCAGAACTAATACATCGCTCCGTCATGCAGCGAGTTGGCGAAGACACTGAGGATGCTACCTGCTTCGCCCAGGCCAGTGGTTGGGCGCAGAGCCCAGAAGATAAGTTCACCCTCCCGCGGTGACCGGCGGTGGTGCACAGCTAGCGATGCTAGTCCCACTGCGAATACTGTTGTCACACCTAGGAGGGTGTTGACGAACAACGGAGACGGGAGCTCAGATCTGATGCGCTTTGATACTAGCGTTGGCTGTGAGACAACGACGTTATGCCGTCCAGACAAGGCAGACAGTCCAGGAATGTTGCCCAAGATCTCCTTCGCACTAGCTACCGTACTGGAGGCGAGAGTCTGTGATCTTGCTGTCCATGGTAGAGATGTACTTCTGAGGAATTTCTTCGCGCCAGTAGAAACAGACCAGACATCCACCGGGTCGACCTCGTCGGTGTAGAAGAACTCCTTGCGCAACCTGCGAATGTATGCTCCGATGCGTGGATACTTGGTCTGGATAGTCTCCCTGAGCCAAGCTTGGGGCACGGTTGGGTAGTACAGCAAGGACAAATAGCCAAAGGCAAGACAATCCAAGCTAGAAGGCTGCTCCCCACGAAAGAGATGGTCGTGTTTGCCCAATAGATCTGACAAGGGATCCAAGAGCTCGCCCGACAGAGCATCCAGTCTGAAGCGCGCAGCGTACACTTGGCCACCTAGGAGACCGCCTAGACCCTTTCCACGCCCCATGCTCATACTGCTGGGTTGACTTTCGGTCGGTATGCCAGCTGCCCGTTTTGCGGCCTCATATTCGGACGAAGCAGTCCCACGACCCGGGGCAAAGCCTTCCTCGGCTGCAGTATCCACATCCAAGCTACTCAGTCCCATGTGCGCCGTCCGGGCTCTCGCAAGGTCTCGTCGTTTCGGCGGGACGGTGTAGTTGGCATACCATGGCAGGATTGCGGTGTAAGCGGACGAGGTCGCGGTGTTGTAGTTTTCAGCAGAGACGTAGAGGGATAGGTCGATCAGAGGCGTCGCCGTGGACTGGAGAAACGTGATAAAACTAGAAATGCGTTAGAACACGCCTAGTACTTGGTCGTTGGGTACTCACGCCGTCCTGTCGGTCCGCTGTCTACTGGATAGGTTGACATCGAGGTCATTGGTAACCGCAGGGTGATTGCGCAGGTATGCGACGATATCCTCGAAGCCAGAGGCGGTCGCAACATCGTCATCAAAAAGAATCGGCAGGCTCTCTGCTGCTGTGTAAGAATGTACGTCGGCCACGGTGGGGTTGCAGTCCTGTACCTGTGGCGCCTACCGTGGGGTCGTGCTCCGCGACGAGTGTCCAGTCTCCCTTGGGAATAACGCGCTGGCAGTAGGCAACCGTCGCTATGCATTCCGGTTCTATTGAGGGGAGGCCAAAGGCTGGGCCCCATACATGAAGTTCAAGCACCATCTCCTGTGCGGTGTTGCGGTGCGCTGTTGGTTCACAGAGCGCTGACGCACTTGTCTACAACTTCTGCGCAGGCCGATCGGAACGTTCCTAGCGTCGGAACGCGTGCACGTGAACACGCATCATCGTTGGTTTCCATGCTCCCAGTCGCACTTGCTTGATTACATCGTCGACATCAACCACAACTCCAACATGGCACCACTCCGACGCTACTTGCGGATTACAAAACATTCGGTCCTCGAGGTCCGCATCTATCTCGACAGACCTGCCGACGCTGAGGCATGGCTGTTGAAACGCGATGATCCAGCACTGCCACGCGTCATTCAGGCCATACGACCGCTTGTACTGCCCAAACTGCGAGAAGAAAACGAGCGGGGTAAAGGCCGAGGTGGTGCCAAATCTAAAAAGAAGGGAGTGAAGGATGTTGTCGTTGAAGGTAAGCTGCATGAAGCCTTGTCGAACCATCTAGGATACAAGCATCCCCGCATATATGCTGCAGTCTTACTCAGACGGCTAACCTCACGTCAGATGATTTCGAGGTTTCGATCTTCTTGACGGACCTATCCTCCCGCCACTCCGTTCTGACCAAGCAAAAGATCTTCAAAGACAAGGCCCGCATCCAGAGCAACTCGGGCAAACTCACCAACTGGCTGACAACCGGAACTAGCGATCAGCCTGTCGTTATCAACGAAGATGCCGCAGATCCGATAGTCATCAGAGAGGAGGAGGATGACGAGCCTATCAATCTTGCTGATATCCCTGCAGCCGATGTGCCTGCAGAGCAGCCTGAACGTTCAGCACGACCAAGACGCCGAAGAGGCAACAAAGAGCATGATGGAATCGGCGATGATACGGACAGCGAAAGTTCGGATCTCTTTGTCCCCGAGCCTCCTGCCAATGGCAGCAAGACGAAGGCCAGCACAAGGGATGATGATCAGGCCAGTGATGAGGAGCCACAAGCTGATGATAAGAAAAAGCTTGGTCTCAATACATCATATGACGGCTTCAGTATCTACGGCCGTATACTATGTCTCGTCATTAAGCGCCGTGGCGTGCGAAATCCGGCAGGAGCGAGTGGCGCAACTTCCAGCCAGGCAATGCTGGAGAATTGGGTGTCTACGCAAGCTGTGGCTGAACAGCTCGACGACGATGAAGACGCCGTTTGAATAGATTCAGCAAGCTAGTGCTAGCTGGCCGGCAATTCTATCATGACAGCTGTGGACTGATACGATCGCGGACTACCAGGGACAAAAATAACAAGGGCGGTCACGATTCGCCGACCCTGAACACGACAAGTTCATGACAGGCTTCATCCACGTGGGACGCACTGGGCTCAACCATCGTACCGGATAAATGCGCGGTCCTTTAGGAAGCCCCTGCGCAATAGGTGGCTGGCTTAGTGAACCATTCTCCCAGAGGGCACAACGTGCGCCACGATTTTCGCGCGCCATCTTGTGTACGCACGCCTCATCTTACCACAAACATGGTCAATCTCCTAATGGGGACTTGATGAGAACAATGAATCTGAAACAAAGCACACAGAAGTGCTGATGTATTGACAAAGGTGGGAGGATCAGTCGGCTTTCCGGTACGACCAGGCGTGCTATTGTATCTAAATGCAGATTTTGGGCTCGATCGATACATTGAATATTGCGACACAGCTCCACAGCTCGCTGATCGAAAACAAATGTGAGGAACCACTGCCTTGGCGAGCGTGAACTCGGTGCTTCTCCGGCGTACGACGCTTCCAAAGTCGTCTCGTCTTTGTCTTGTTCGAGTCCTTTCACAGGTAGCGCGTCGGGCTCGCCGGCCTGGCACAGCCCAATCCGCTTTCGCGCGAAAGTGAAGGAGCGTAAGCCACACTGAGTGCGGCAGCGGCGCCGAGACATTGGTGCGCGTACCTGCAGCAGCGTGCCTGGAGTTCTCTCCACACAAGCTATTGATCTGCTGATGACGATCGCCTTGATCCACCGCCGTTATCGCACCATGGCTGCCAAAGCATGGCAGAATAAACACCATCTCTATAATGACGCGGTGAGCGGCTAGTCACATCGACGAAAGCGGAGCCGGCTGATAGAGTTCAGTGCCAATACGATGTTTCTTTTTCGGCGACATGAACGCCGCATTCGTTGCTGCAAGCAGTCCTGCATTGGGAACTGCGAGAGGGCTTATTGAATCAGACAGCCTCAAGACGAAAAGTTTGTCGGTCGAAAGGTGCCGTGATTACTTCCTGCAACTTACTGCATGGCGGCCGCCCCTGCAGCTCAACTCTGTGGCTCCAATCTTATGGGCTGCAGGCTGTCAATTAACGGCAGACATGCTAACGCTCGGTCTCCTGTCGTCTCTCCGCGCTGGCCAGTTGGTTGGAACGCTTGTCAGCCCTAAAGTCTTTTACTGGGATGAGACCAGATCTCCGCTGCTGTCGCATGTCTTCGCATTGGACTGTAACACCGTCGCAATCCTTACCCACCATGCTGAAACAGCTGCTCTTTGGAAGCGTTGAGACTGAGCTACTGAACTACCGAAGGGGGTGGCGATGGTGAGGACGATACTTGCTGTGTTGAGTTTGACGCATCGTCTCCCCCTGCAAATCTAATCGCTTACCTTCGACGATGAGCGCATCGCTGCACTTTTTTTCTTTCTGATGAATAAGGGACATTCTCTGCTTGTCGCGCACAGGCTCTTCAGGGCAAACGCTTCGACAATCGTGGCATTGATCGGGGAGGCTGCAGGGGTAAAGAGAGGCATACATATTGCGAATCTCAATCAAAGGAACGCCTATCTGAAGTCGGACGTGGACCCCTGGCATCCACGTGGATCTTGACCAGCTGAGACATGCAAGTTGCGGTGCTGTTGTCCGTCACTCCGCAATGGTGTTCTGCGGTGCTGAGCGCCTAGTGGCAGCACGGCGCCCGTTCAACTCTGTCCTTCCGGACCAGCCGAATATCCTGATAACCTTTATCGAGCGGCCACTGCCAGCCAGTTGTGGTCGCCGGACGTTCTTGGAAAACAGGGCATACTGGGCGTCGGCAGCTACTCCTACCTCGGTCACAAGCGCGAGCCAGGATTAATACGAGTCGCACGAAGACGGCAAGCCAGAAAGACAAAAATAATCATGACATGCCTTTGTGCGGTGCTTCGCATTCTCAGCCTAGCTGCCCACGAACAAACGTGTGTACCCCGGCCTGTCGATTCAGGACGACAGCTGGAAAGTCATGACTGACCTCACACCGCCAGCACGGGCGCCAGCAGCTGTGGACATTGTGGAGCGGAAAATTCTAGGGGGCTTCGAAATTGGGTGGAAGCGTCAAAGAAGCACGGGAGAAGGTCGGCATAGGCGCTAGATCTTCGTCCTGCGCTGGAGGTCGGTGGGTGTCGGACGTTGGCAAATAGGCGACGTCGCAAATTGTGTGACGGAAATTTACTGTCAGTGTGTCAGAATTTGCTCCTGGCACGCACCGGCTACTGGAACCGAGCGATGCCTGTTCCTGAAGCGCTCGCAAGCAAACCCTCTTGCAAGCGGTCCCAAGGCGGCGACTGATCCCAGCCCTGCGCACCGTCAAGGTGAAAAGGAGGGCTACGTTTCATTCACACGACCGTTCGCACTAGCCATGTCTGCTAGCAATAAGCCGGTAATGTCAGGGAACAGGTGATGTCAGAAGAGAGAGAACGAACGTGCCGTGGGTCAATCATGCCTCGCTGAGCCTGCTGCCTTGCCTGAAGGATGATGCGTTGTACGAAGGACCTGCCGCAACGGCGACAATACTGCGACAGGATTGGATCAACGCGATCTTCACGCAGTCACGAGGGCGATGAAACGACAAGGCGGTAACGCGCGAGTTCGTGTTTCTTCTCCCCCCTGCTCATTAAGTGACCAGGATCAGCGATGTTTCGGCGTGCTTTAGCTTATGCACAAGCCAGGAGCCACCCCTTTCCTGCTCATCAGCCCAACGCCTCTTTCACCGCTTGGGCCGTGCCATGCCCTGCCTAGCATTATTACACACATCGTCAAAGTACGTAGCTGACCGACATTTTGGGGGTCTGCAATCTGAGCACAAACATAAATACGTTGACCCCCCACCATCGGAGAGTTCGTTTCATCATCCAGAGCCGAAGACTACTACCACTACCACTACTACAACACTACCAACCAACACTACAACAACCTACTCAACGCTTCCGCTCTACACAAGCCTACCAGCTTCACCTTCAACTCAACACAATGGCCGCCATCATCTACGAAGAGTCCAACATGGGATCGCAAAACCTCCCACCTTGCCCTGGCCCACCACCAACCCGTCCTCTGCCTCCTGTCCCATCCAAATAGACATGGACATGACCATCAACTCACATGTCTGTCTTGCTCGACTTACACACTTGGCTTTGGCGCACCACAACATCGATATCAACTCCGCATCCTTACCCGAACATCCACCGCACCCCACCCTAATACTCTACCAACCGACATCGACCCGCACCTTGCCGCCTGGTCTGCCGCCATCATGCAGTGCATCTGCAGCACCCAGTACGATCTGATCTTGGACGCACTACGCGCCCTAGACCACGAACAACTCCCTGTCACTCACCTGACATCCGCCGCGAAATCCGGTTAAAAGCAGCCTACGCTTGTCTTTGGAGAGCGATCCCACACCACATCAGCCTTGCATCAACAAGCCTCCACATGACGGCCTGCAGCCATGTGGCATTGCTGCATCTACCAGGACCTGCTCGTCTGACTCACAATCGGAGCATGGCTACGACTGCATATCCCACACACGCTGGCTCGGGTGTCCGGAACGATCCTTCTCTATAGACGCCTACTTCATTTTGGCACATACACACCGCAGTCCCTTCTAATATTGAGCGTATTACTTGCTTTGGAACATGCATTAGTTGGCGCTTGGGATTGGGCTGTGTGGCATCATAGCATCATTAGCTTTTTGGAGTTCTATTACTGGTTAGGCGGCATCACAGCCAGGAGGAATACCCAATATCGTCTCATAGCATTAATCATTTGATCTCAGATCAACTACACGCATTACCTCGTCTCTTGTTGTTGCATGTGAAACCCCGCGTGCTAATTATCGCCACAGAATCCTCCTGATCACTAATCGCGTCGGCAGTCGACACTCAAGGCGTTGGGGGCTGAAGTGAACGTCTCCTGGGCGCAAGGCATCTTCCGCTAACATGGCTGCCCAGTTGTCAGCGAGCGCGCGATAGTTCCCGTGCACACCACCATTGCTATCCGCTAAGGCACATGGCGGTGATAGGAGGCGCCGGTGGTTGACAAGCGCGGCAGCATGTCAGAGCCATCAGGACTGCAACCTCCACAATCAGGCACCTGTACATCACAAGCGCTTTGGTGGTACACACGTGGGCTGTGTGTGACGTAGTCCTGACAGGTCGAATAGAGAGCCAATAATGCGACTCGTTTATTGACCTGCGATGCAGATTCAGGTGTCCCGCAGCTACCGAAACCTTCCGTGTGACCGGTTCACTCTTGGAATCACGGCACCACCCCGGCATGCTTGTGCAGGAACGACGATACTTGCCGCCGCTTCATCTTGCGAACGCTAATCAGCAGGACTGATGCGGTGTCTGAATGCGAATATTGGCAGGGCTCTAGTCTGTGGTTGTGGCTCGGTTGCGCCTGCCTGCCTAGCTCCAAACGACGGCCGTGAATCCGTTCAGGCACAAGTGCATGCTGCTGCCCTGCTCTCAGCTGAGGCAGATGACTCCTCTGCGCGTATAGCCAACCACTGCTGCATGCCTAGTTGTACGCTACCCAGCACCGTCTGTCGCCATAGCAGCTTCGCATGTTGCACGACTTCACCGCTCTGCCAGACGTGCCCGCAGCTGCGCAGCCGTTAGCGGTATGCGTCGCGTTACACTACTACCCCTCTGCTATCATGGCCAACAACAACCTGCGCATCGCGCGGTTACACAGGAAGTACCATTGTGTGCCTACGCCGCAAATTGACGCCAATCTCCGCCCCTCCGAGCGGGTCCGGGCACACCACGTTCAGGTTGGGGGCAGCACCCTGACGGTGTTTGACCTTTGATACTCGGATGAGTATGCCGACGTTCGCAATGGGCGACCAAAGACGGCTCGGGCCCAGGCGTAGACAGTTTACACCACTCTGCGCTGCTGACTGGGAGTCCCTCGGTTTCATGGCACCGCTCATTTGCCAATTGACTTCGAGCAACGCCGACGTCCTTCGTCCTCTGCCATTCTGTGTCATTGGCAGAAGGCAACAAGGCTGCATTCCGGTCTGATGAATACGGACCTGAGCAACCATGCAATCGGTCCTCAGCACGCACACAGACCTATCGCTTAGCTATCAAATTGCCTCTCGCAAACACCGATGATGCTAAGAACAGCTCTGTCAGACGTCAACTCAATCCGTCCTGCAAAGAAGCGAGGCATCCATGTACGCCATCGGCTGACGCAAGCTGCGCGTTGCCGTGTGTACAACGTGTGGAAACCTGCAGTCGTCCTTCGATACATCAACTTTCACGCACGCAAGCGCACGTCAATCACACGTCGCATGCAAGCCCTCTGCGTGCGTCCAAGTGCTTTGCTGATATCCCTGGCAGATCATTGACTCACGCCCGCATTCCACAAACCACGTTGCTTTTCGCGCAGATCGTGGGTCCCCGCGGGCAGACAGTATGCAGCCTGCAGCCTTATTTTTCCTTGATGCCTACCGCGCTCCGAGCGCTGGCAAAGTCCGCTCGCTGTCAATCAACCCACGCAAGTCGGCCTTTCTTGGTAGATCGTTCGGCGACTTGGATCACTCGCTCTGACTCACCTTCAGCGGTGTACCCAAGCTGTCACCGTTACGACACGGACGCCGTTGCAATTTGGCCGATGTCCCCATGTCGCAACCGGGTTCTCGGATCCCATCGCGCAAAAAGGGAAAAGCCGTTGAACCTGTAGCTGCCGGCTACCGCTGTAAAAACCCTTACATGGCTCACCGCTGTATAGGTCAGGTGGAGAGGTTCCAACGCAGCATGTGTGAGTGAGGAGGATTTTCAATCTTGTGACTTCCCAGGTTGTTATTAATGTGGGAATTGCGATATTCGCCTTGTTCGCCTAACCATCACACTCCTTTCGGTTGATCATTACGCAGATTCACCATCAGCCAAGCAACTGCGGCTGTAAGCGAACCGCCCTCGCAATGACTTCAAAGCGTAGACCCCAGCACGGTAAACGTTCAGTCCGGTTGATCAAAAGCTCGGCGAAATTATTTTTTTCCCACATGTTGTTTGCTCGCCGAGCACACATAAACGATTTTCATCACAATACCTCCGTCACACTGGAGCTGTCACCGACAAATTTCCGCTCCCAATTCATGGAGATCATGCAAGACGGGCAGTCAACAATAACTCCTCCTTTATTTGCCTACCACTATGCATGATATGCAATGCCTGCAATGCCTGCAAGATACCGTGTCAAAACAAGGATGTCCACCCTCCTTGCCCGTCGTCGCTTGCGCAATCTGTTTCGCAGGCAACAAGGCATTCGTGGACAATAATATCCCACTATCCCACACCCACTCTTTCCCACACAATCGTGTGTGTGTAGCTCTGTCGATCAAACAAGCAAGCGTCCTGAACATGCCGTTCATGCACGTCGTCTAATACGGTAAAGTGGATTTGTTGTATCTCGCCACCATGTCTGACATCTGAAACAATCACAGCGATTTAATCGCGCCATGAGTCGATATTGCCACAGGTGTTATCGCCGCTGGAGCCGCTGGCCGAGGATGTTGCGCGCTGATCTTGCATGGTCTGCTCTGGAGTCCAGTGTGAGAGAATCTTGCTTCAAACGGTGCCTCGGTATTTGGATAGGCGGTGCCTGTGGTTAATAGCCGGGTCGACGACTCTGAGGCGCGTAAGGTTAGATTCAGCCTATCTTTCAGGCATTAAAGTATCTTGCGTTGTCGCGAACATGGCTGCCACACTGTAGGTTCGACTAGCTGAACTATACGGTATCAACGCGTCTTGGAGGACGTATGCAAGTACGGCAAGGAACACCCCACGCTCCATCTGCAAGATGCTGTATCCGGCTGAAGTGCTGTGTATTGCCCTCACTACACACCAACTGCATATGCTGATCATCGATTGTCGGCGTACCTGCTCTAGACCTTTGGAGGATACATCTGAGGTATCAGGCGGACCTCTCGCTCGCGTTCAGACACTGCGAGTTTTGAAGTTGAGATGTCGTTGTGATGTAGTTCATGGTCCTGATGCACAGCCACAGGCGCCACTTGCAGGTTGAAGTAGCTTGACGTACGAGCGGACCAATCATCTACTCCGCGCCTCGGGAATCTTGGAAGTCCAGCTGCGATACAGCGCACTGCATGCGGGGCGTATGTTGCGCGTAACGCCCGCTTGGAAGACGATCCTACATACAAATATAGGTCCTCCTCTTCCTCATTATTCCTGCTCAGCTATTGCGTTTCGCATTTCACGCGTAGTCAAACATGGGGCTCGTCGATTGGTTGAATTCCATGGCGGAGTTTGGTGAGTGGGCTGGTGGACGCAAGCCAGTGACGAAGAAGTCGGATGCGCTGCGCTTCGGCATTTTGGGAGCTGCCAAGATTGCGTACGTCTACGCTCTACTGTCTTTGTCCATAACAGGACGTCAAAATGAGACTTGAAGCTAAAATATATCTTCGAACAGTCCATTAGCTCTGATCATCCCAGCGCGGTCACATGCAGAGGTCATAGTCGTTGCTGTTGCAGCTAGAGACAAGACCAAAGCGGAGGCTTATGCGAAGAGATGGGATGTGCCAATTGTTCATGAGAGCTATGAAGGTAGGTATACCATCTCATGGCATTTCCATCGGTCCGGAAACATCATGACGGATTCTTGGACTACCGCAAGGTCACACTGACCCATGGTAGCGCTCATCAACGATCCATCCATTGACTGTATATACAACCCCCAGGGTGGGTGGGGGAGGCGGAGGGGAGGAGGAGGGGAGCAGGAGGGGAGGTGGTGGAGGTCTCGCACAGTGTCCACTCGCTGACTTGTTGTAGCGCTCATCAACGACCCATCCATCGACTGTATATACAACCCCCTCCCCAACGGCCTCCACTACAAATGGACGCTCGCGGCCCTCAAAGCAGGAAAACACGTCCTACTAGAAAAACCCTCCGTCTCCAACGCACAAGAAGCACGCTCTCTTTTCCACCACCAAATCCTCAATGCTCCGAACGCTCCGATCCTTGTTGAAGCAAGTCACTATCGCTTCCACCCCGCCTGGCATGTCTTCCTGTCGCAATTCGATGAGCAAAACATAGAGAAAGCGAGTGCCCGCGCTGGAGTGCCCAAAGGAGGTATCCCAGCGACGGACATCAGATTCGAGTACGATCTTGCGGGCGGTGCTGCAATGGATCTAGGACATTACACCCTCTCCGCGCTACGAGGCGTCTTTGGAACTGAGCCCGCAGAAGTTACTTCAGCGATACCTCGTCTCATACACGCACCTCACGACCAGCGCTGCGACCAGGCCATGGAAGCCACCTATACTTTTCCTAATGGCGGCACTGGTCACGTTTCAGCGGATCTGGGTGCTCGGGGTGGTTATTGGTTTCCATGGTTGACATCAAACTGGCCCAGTTTCCGCGATCTGCTCGCCTGGATCTCTGTGACTCTGCATCCTGAGGATCTTGGTGTGGAAAACGGTCTGCGAAAGTCTAGTCAGAAGATAATTGTCTTCTCGGGTTTCATGAGTCCGCATGCGTATCATCGTATCGACATTACCACTACGACCACCCTGCACGAACTTGCATCTGGCAAAATTGTCAAAGTTGAAAAGAACACCGAATACAAAACAGCGTACAAATGGCCAGAGGGCATGGGTGGCGAAGAAAGGGGACAGGATTGGTGGACGTCATATCGGTACCAACTCGAGGAGTTTGTGAATAGGGTTAAGGGTAGAGAGGGGAGTGGTGCTTGGGTGGACGGCGAGGAGAGTGTTAGGCAGATGGAAGCTACGGATCGGACGTATGAGAGAGCGGGTATGGCGGTTAGGCCTACGAGTGTGGAGTTGGAGTGAGGATGGATGAGAAAGATGGGCGGTGCGGTGTTGCGTCATCGTAGGTGGGTGGGGGAGGCGGAGGGGAGGTGGTGGAGGTCTCGTATACTATCCGCTCAGAGTACCATTCAGTCATTGCATTTAAATCACCGCGACACGAGCGCGGTCACAGGAAGCATCGCGCTACGTACCAACCATCACATTGGGGCTATTGATTGGAACTCGATGTAGCACTCAGGGTATCCGAATGAACCCAATCTTACAATGGCGCATGTGTATGTATTTTTATGCACACAATTGATCTATTCGGAAATGCGTAACCTCATTGCCGCCATCAACATCGTCCTTGGGAGTGAGGATGCGGGTTCCTTCCTTCCTGCCAAAGCCGCGCTGCCACACAACCAACACAGCTCGCAAACACAGCGCGCACCCTACACCTCGCAGAAAAGCCTCACCGCACGATAAGACAGAGTAAGCAAATAGCTCCAAAGCAGCAAGCCAGATACCAAGCAGCGACAAGCTTCTCCAAGCCTGCACAAGCCTTGCGTCTACCTGCCTGTCTAGGCATCGCTCTGCAGCTCTGCCCCGCTTTGATGCACCAGAGGAACATGACGCGATGGTAAGCTCAGGTTCCGAGAAGCCGGGTTTGAGGGAGGTATATAAGTAGTGCGGTACTTCCAAAGTATACTGGTACGTCGACTGAACAGACCTCCGGAGGCTTCGAGAATGAGGTTTCTGACAACGGTTTGCAGTTTCGCGGCGCTGGGGTCTGCGGGCCCGGCTCAGAAATGGACGCCATGGATGGAGAAAAGACAGGCTGGTGATGCGGCGCCGGCTTATGAGGCGCATACCATTGATCAATTGGTGAGTCGCATGGCTTTTGGGTAATCGATGGGTCTTTGCTGATTGTTGGGGCAGATTGATCATTTTCCGGATAGCGATCGGTACCTTCCGCATACCAATGCTACGTTCACGCAACGATACTGTAAGTGTGTTGCAATAGATAAGTATCCAGCATGAGCTAATCGTGTATCTTAGTTTTTGATTCGTCCTACTACAAGCCTGGAGGACCGGTTTTTCTCTACATTGGCGGAGAGACGAGTGGAGAATCGCGCTTTTCTAACTTGCAGACTGGAAGTAAGTTATTGCAACGGAACTCCCTTGATACCTCTTCTCTGGTAATTAATCGATTCTTTTAGTCATCCAGATACTCATGGAAAAGTTCAATGGCCTTGGAGTGATTCTCGAGAATCGTTACTATGGCGAAAGCTACCCTTACAACTCTAGTACAACGGATGAGCTGCGGTTTCTGACTACAGAGCAGAGTAAGTGATGGCCGCAATTTCGTTGGTCGTGTGTTCTGACGTGCTGTAGCTATTGCCGATAATGCCTACTTCAGACAACATGCTACCTTTCCGGGCGTCAACGCCAGTTTGAGCAGTGCCGACACTCCGTGGATCATGTACGGCGGTTCTCTTGCTGGTGCTCACACGGCATTTACTATGAAAACATACAACGACATCTTTGCTGGAGGTATCGGTAGCAGCGCCACTATCCAGGCCTTACTTGAATACCCGCAATGGTACAATCCCATCATGAAGTTTGGCCCGGCAGACTGTATTTCAAGGATCGTCGATATTGTTAACAAGATGGATGAACTCATCTGGAGTGGAAACAAGGACGGCATCCAGCAGCTCAAGGATATCTTTGGTCTGGGTGCTCTGCAAGATCTAAGAGACTTTGCTATGACAATTGCATTCCCGATTGGTGGCCCCATGAACTATCCGACCAACACTTGGCAAGAGCTCAGTAAGTAACTGAATTCCACGATTCGGTGATAAAACAGCAACTGATCTTAACCCAGACTGGTCCGACCGCTACGGCTCAAAAGACTTCTTTAGCTTCTGCGGCAATGTAACGCAAATCAATCCACCGGCAAACATCAGCAGCGTCGACATGGCGCTTTCCAAGTACTCCAATGGCGAGCCTTGGACTGGATTAGGTGGATATGCCGACTACGTCAAGAAGACGCTCATCCCAACCTGCGAGAGTGGCCGGATCGACAGCACAGACTCCGGTTGCTTCGGCACACAAAACCAGACATACTACGCCGACCCCACAAACGGAGCAGCGCGCTCCTACCTCTACTCAACCTGTTCCGAGTCCGGCGCCTACCAAGTCGCAGCCACAAACGGCCCCAGCCTCATCTCTCGCGTCCTTCAAATCGACTACACCCAGCAATGGTGCACCTGGGCCTTTCCGCCCGGTGAGTACAACAGCATCCCCGCCACTCCCGCGTTGCACTACTACAACAAATACGGAGGCTGGGATCTCCAAGCTGAGAACCTCGCTCTTATCGACGGAAACACAGATGTCTGGCTCGATTTATGCTATCATTCGAATTTGGCGGCTCAGCCTAGGATCAGCAGCGATAAGTATCCGAATTATCTGATTGCGGGAGCTGGACATCATTGGGATAGCTATGGGATTAAGAATGTTAGTGCTGAGCCGGACTTTATCAGGGAGGCGCATTATTGGGAGGAGAGGACTGTGAGTCGGTTCTTGGAGTTCTGGGCGGAGAAGGAGCATTAGGTCGGGACGAGCTGAACATGGGTCTTTTGTGTGTAGAACTATGTACTTGTCTAGCAAGTCGATATCAATGACCCCCACTTTCTTCTGAGGCGCTTGGGCGAACGCGGGGTAGTCGAGGACCCTGAAAATGTGACTTGGCAGGGGACTCCGCGCTTTTGCAAGGGATGCGCCGTGGATACAACCTTATTTTGTGAGTCTAATGTCGCTCAAGTCATCTTCCAGATTTCAACACAACAACATTCATTGATGCTCGCCATTCTAGCCTGTTGGCGATGTGGAATGATGCGTGCGCGTTTCGATGTTGGTGTTTGCCACTGTGGGTCGCCAGGGGCGCGCTAAGTGGTTTCTGTCACCGCTTGGCTTCATCAAATAGCAGCCTCATAGCTCTTTGCTACACCACCATGCATTTGTGCCATTGACGCTTACCACGGTCTTTGAATTTGTCGATTCGGTCTTTCCTTTTCAGCACTGCACAGTGCTTGTTTCTTGTTCGTTCTAGCGGGCGCTAGCCGTTGCTATCGTTATCGACACATCGCGACAACACCAGCACCGAGCGTGTTAAATCATCAACGAAATGGGCAAACTGGCTTTTCCGCTCGATAAAGAGCTCACGGGGCCGGATAGGGTTGTTCTGAATATACTGCAGAAGGAGTACGAGTTATATGAGGCTAAGTCTGCGGAATCATCAACAGATGCAGCGGAAGACTCTGATGACTCGGGTGTCAAGCATTCTGAGATTGTGACGCCGTCACCAGAGGGTCAGTACTTATTTCGATCGATACTCAATGCCTCGGAAGCATGCAATATCGATATGCGCTTCTGGTGCGACCAATGACTAACTTTGTTTAGACCTACAAGACCAGGAGCAACAGGCGATTGCTTACCTCAAGAAGCTTAATGACCCCAAGTCTGACAGCTTCGAGACCAGTGTTTTCAGCTCTGTGGATGAACCCGACATCAAGAACCCTCTTCTTCGCCAATGGATCATCGACCCCTACATCCAATGGGCGAAGAAGGTTGTCCGAGTCGAGACCGACGTTATCATGGTCACGCATCTGCTGCTTTACTTCTGCACCAGCATTCCGTCAGCCGCATACTTGTACATCAACTTCCATTGGTGGCACGCTGTCCTCCATTGCGTCATGCAGGGCTACTACATGGGAGCATACACTCTGCTGAAACACCAGCATATCCACATGCGTGGTGTTCTCAGCAAGAAGTATGACTTTGTCGATCGGCTGTTCCCATACATTCTCGACCCAATGATGGGTCACACATGGAACTCGTACTACTACCACCACGTCAAGCATCACCACGTTGAAGGCAACGGACCTAACGACCTTTCTTCTACAATTCGCTACCAGAGGGACAGCGTTTGGGACTTTGCGCAATACGTTGGTCGATTCTACTTTCTGATCTGGCTCGATCTGCCAATGTACTTCTTGCGTACACGCAAGCCTAATCTCGCGCTTCAAGCTGCGGGATGCGAGATCGGTAACTACGTCTTCTTGTACTTGATGTACAGTTTTGTCAACGCTCGCGCGACGACGTTCGTATTCTTGATCCCTCTCGCTTTCATGCGCTTGGCTTTGATGACTGGCAACTGGGGACAGCATGCTTTCGTTGACGAGGTCGAGCCGGACTCCGACTTCAGGTCGAGCATCACGCTCATCGATGTACCTGTAAGTTTACATTCATTCACTTTGGATGAATAACCCGCTTACATTGTCCCAGAGCAACCGATACTGTTATAATGATGGCTACCACACCTCCCATCACCTCAACCCGCTTCGCCACTGGCGCGAGCACCCCGTTGCCTTCCTTTCGCAGAAGAAGCAGTACTCCGATGAACAAGCAATCGTTTTCTACAACATCGACTACTTCTTCCTTACAGTAAATCTGCTGAGAAAGAACTACGAGCACATTGCCAAGTGTCTTGTACCCATGGGCGACCAGATGAAGCTTACGCTTGACGAGAAGGTCGAGATGTTGAAGCGCAAGACGCGGAAGTTTACTGAGGAAGAGATTGCGGAGAAATGGGGCAAGCAGTATGCTAAGTTGAAGTAGGGGTAGATTGCACTGGTAATCTAGCAACTGCAGGTAGCTGTATATAATTCTTTTAAGCGTTCAGGAACGATTATCACCGCTCGGTATCGATAACAAGATAGATGTAAAGGTATTGCGATATTCTGCCGCTCTTGCCTATGAACCCACGTGCGAGCGTGCAGCACTTGCCTGGCACGTTCGCTCATCATATCATTCGATGTTGGAGCCGATCATTATCCCTCGTCGCAACAACACCCTACACCCATCACTACTCCACTCCCGGCAATGGAGAATTCTGGGAGACTACCTTTCGATCAGAGCTTGTTCGTCGCGACACCCAACGCGATCTATTTGAGATCGCAGCTCGCTCGGAAGAAGCTGTTCGAGTGCGAGACCGCTAACGGCATAGTCAACGCTCGTGCCTCGAAAGACAACAGTAGCCTCTTTGCTGTAGCAGACAGCCAGGTCGTGATACTACACGACGCCACTCGAAGCAAAGACAGGAAATACAAACTGAAGAACGGCGATGTATGGCATACTCACGGATAAGAACAGATTCATGAACTGACACTAGCATAGGGCGAGCCACGCCTTCTTCTATTCTCACCCGACTCGCGCATCCTGTACTTCACGACAACACTGAGCAACTCGGTTCAAGCATACTCCATACCAAACGACGAGCTTCTGCCTTGCCTGCCATCACATCCGTCTCCGCCGAACGCGATCGCAATATCCAGTAACGGCACCGTCCTCCTTTCAGCCTCTCCGAACCCACCAACTATTTACCTCCAAGACCAACGATGGGGACGCAGCGCAGCGGTGGATTTTCGCCCGACAGACGCGCGTTCGGCTGCCACGTGTGCTGCGTTCCAACAGGCAGACGGTCCTGCACAGCTGTCGTATACCAACTTCGTGATTGGATTTCAAGACGGGCTATTGGCGATGTATCGCCTCTTCCTACCTTCACTGCGAAAACGTTCCGAAGACTCGCGTGTACATCAACCGCAGTACTTCCAGTTACAACCCATCCGAGTCGGTGTTATCCAAAAGCTTCATAAGCCGGCTATGGGCGGTATGCTAGCAGCGGAATTTCTACCAGGCTACAAGTCGCGGGTTGTTAGCATTAGGCACGATGGCAAATGTCGACTTGTCGACTTTGAAGGAGGTGGGAAGATACTGCGGACATAGCATGTCTCCGGCCCGGCTACTTGTTTGTCTGTTTCAGCGCAAGGCCCAGTTCGCTCGAAAGGGAGGGCAGATGGAGCGGTGTTATTGAGTGGTGATGCGACCGAAGATGGTAGAGAGGTATATGAGGGCGTTGAGACTCTGATTGCAATCGGTACACAGGCGGGGAAAGTTCTCATTTTCAACATTCTCGGCCTACTGATACATGAAATTGCGCTGGGAGTTTCTGTCACAGCTGTCGAATGGGTCGGCGATATGACGGCGCCTTCTCTCCTCCCGATTCTCGGATCGTCACTATCGCCTGAGCCTCGTCAGGTTGTCGATATTTTCGGAGCAGAGCAATCGACATCCTCGGACGAAGGCACGGGTACAGTCAAAAAGATTGTATTGGCCCACAAGCAAGCTGTGCCAACGAAGTCAAATCCTATGCGTTCACCGCCAGATCTGTTTTCCGATAGACCCAGAGAGGCTGGATCCAGAATTCCCAGTCGCAGAAGTTCAGATGTGTTGCGAGGCTCACCCCTACGCGGCGAACGAGCGCGGGAAAGACCCGCGAAAAAGGGTTTGGTGCGACCGCGAATCTCCACTGAGACCTTTGATTCGCCTCCAGGCCCTTCTTCTGGCGGCGTCCCGGATGCCAAAGTAACTCAGTCCTCAACAGGAATCGACCCTCCAATACAAGAAAGCCGAAGATGGCCACAAGTACACCAGGCGCCAAGTGTGCCAACGCCTATGCGAGCACAACACCTTTCCGCCTCCCATAGATCTGCCAGCTCGTCTCCAGAGACCGAATTTTCAGATGAAGACCAGGAATGGTTTACACCTCCCTCTACGCGAAGATGCAAAGGGAAAGCTCCACGGCGTGAACTGAGTCCAGAACCATCTCTGACCGCGCCAACTCTTGCGTCCATACGCCCGATTCCCTTTACCAAAACCTGTCCTACTGCTTTGGATACGCCTAGTAGAAACTATTCTCGTCCAATCTCCCGGGCAATGAAAGAAAGCCCTGGTGAACATCAAGAAGCAATGGCGCAAGGATCGAAAAGCTCGGTGATCGTACCAAAGGTCGCTGGACGCTATGTCACCATCCTTGATCCAGAGCTGTCGTCGCCGTTCGATAGCCCGAGCAGTCTATACTCGCGGGCCACTGCGTCAATGTTGGAGAGACTCCCGGTAGGGAAGGCAAAGGAGCATAGTGCTGGCCAGCGAGCTACCTGCCTAGTAGGACCTAAGACTCCAGTCTTGAGACCCGCGCTTGCCAACGTCGATTCAATCCAAGAGCCACCCAGCAGTGTATGCTCTTCTTCAACGCCAACGCCGAGTGGAACAAAGGTCACAACTTCCGATCGAAGGTCCACCGACATTGCAGGCTTGAGCGAGTTAAAGACAACGCCGTATACTCCACGGAGCCGCGTAGTCGCCTCCATCGCAGCATGCTCCTCTTCATCCTCACTGGACATCCTCTACTCTCTTCCACCCCGACCAAAGCCCGAGATAACCTTTGCGCAAAATCACAGCCCCCGTAATCCAGCAACCGCAACACACCGACAGCTCACGCCGAGTTCGCTCGACACGCGGGCTGATTCCCCAAGCAGTGTATACTCCCGCTCCATTTCCGGCATGGCTTGCGCCTCCAGCCATGTCAACGCCATCATTGAAGACACCGACCATTCAGCATCCCCAATCACGCCCATAACACCGCAACATCGCCTCAGTATCCACGCCCTAGGCACCCCAATATCCACCAGCTCGCCGACTAGTCTGTACTCACGGCCTACACCTCGTATGTTCCTCGACCGGTCCCACGCCGTCGACGGATCGGCGGCTGAGAAAGCGAAAGTGGAAGACGTCGGCTCAGGTGTTGCTACAACGAAATCGAGGATGGTAGCGCAGGAAATGTCGTGTTTGGCTGAAGACCAGAGGGCGCTGAGACAGGAGGTCGCGGCGTTGAGGGAGGAGTATCGTGTTCTTAAGGGTGTGTTGTTGAAGTCGGGGGTGTGAGGTGTGCGGTGTGCGGGTGTTGTTGTAGGGCGTTTCCTTCTCCTATGTCCTTGTGTTCTTGCCCTTTAGTTTTTCGTATCCTCGTAGCGTAGCAAATCATACAACCAGTCCTCAAGGCATTCTTGATTCCCACATCTTGTCTTTAAATCCATCCTCCCTGCCCCCAACCCCCCGTCCTCCTCTTCCCCTCCACCGTACCCGCACCCACACCCACACCCGCACCACTACTACCCCCGCTCATAACCTTCCCCTCCTCATCTCCCGCATAAACACTCCTCCCACTACTACTTCCCCTCTTCCCCCCACCACTCCCATCACCCCGATCACTCCCACGCTCCCCACCCTCACCCCTCCGCCCAACCACCCCATCCTGCTTCCCCTCCACAACCGCCCTCGCCATCTTCCACAACATCCACGTCTGACAACTCACCAACACCAACACGAGTAAAAGCACAATGAGAATAGCGAATGCGATGAAGAGGAAAAGAACGGTTTCGTCGTCTCGAGGAGGAGGAGGGGCGGAGGGCGTGAAGGATTTGCTGCCCATGTTGCGTTATACAATGTATGTGTGTTGGGGGGTTTGGGACTTGGTGGATGGGAAGGGGGTGGGAAGGGAAGGGGGGTGGGAAGGGGGGTTGGATGGTGATGGTGATGGTGATGGGTTTGGATGATGGTGGTGATGATGATGCAAGTAGAAAAACAGAGTTAAGACAAGCCAAGGAGAACCATCAATTAAATGAGGTAGGCACCTGTCTGGCTCGGGAGTTCCTTAACTCCCGAGTGTTGTTTGGGGTTGGGCGCGGACCGATTCGAGGGCAACGTAACGCTGTTGCAGATCTGTTTCATGGATACGAGGATAGAGCGGGAAGATCCATGCTGGCAGTTCGCGTTCACTCGGGTCCAGACCAACCACGGAAGCAAGGATGCGAAAGCAGGAAGGGAGAATTTTGAAGAATAATGGTATTGATGAACAAATAGAAAAATCCGATACTAGATACAAAAGAGGTCATTACACTACTTCTCATCGCCATTCCCATAACTGTAACTGTAACCCAGTGACACCGTGCGCTATGCAATACAACCGCGATATCCATCATTACCGCCGTCAGGGTTCTCATCCCAACAAACAAACACAGCGATGAAGCCAAGCCGTCGAGTCGTGAGGTAAGCAACAGCAATAGCAATGCCAGTGCCGGGTACTTTCGTTCCTTGAACAAATGAAACAATCTGTTGCCCAAAGTAATGATGTGTCCAAAAAAGTTATGTGAAAGGAGAAAATGAGAACAAGACAAGAAAAGAAATGAACCGTCCTGCAGTGACAAGACAAGGCAACAAGATTAACACCCCGAATCTTTCATACGTCGTCGTGCGAATCCAGATGGCAAGTCGCGGCAATCTATGCGGCAAGCGGCTCTTCGCCGTTGAGCTCGTCATCCTCGACGTTCTCATCGACGCCGAAGCCGGAGTCCCATTGGCGCTTGGTGGTCTTCTTCTTGCCCTTCTTTCCGATCTTGACTTTCTCGCTGACCTTGGATACCTTGCCAGTGGCGACACGGTGAAGATCACCAGCGCCTTGGGTCTTGACTTCAATGCGCTTGAGCTTCATTTCCTGGATGGCCTGGAGAGCGTCCTGGTTGCGGCGCTTCAGGTCGTCAGCAAGACGCTCGTTCTGCTCCTGAAGTTGACGTTGCGAGATGGTGAGGGCGTCGATGGTGGCGCGGGTGTCCTCCTCGGCGAGGCGGAAACGCTCCTTCATCTCTTCGATCTGAGCCTCAAGAAGTACAATGGTCTCGAGACGAGCATCGCCGAGAAGGCGCATCTCGGTGAGCTCGGTT